ATTATTGTAGTAGACTTTGTTGATTTTTTTAGGTAACTAGTGTAATTTCATGCCAAAATTACAAATTTAGTGTATATTTTAAAATTATTCATGTAATTAGCATAAATTATATTCTCTAAATATGATTTATTTTATTTATTTAATAAATTAATAAATCATTCATGCAATATACGACTTATATTTTTTTAAAAAAAAATATAAGTTGCATATAACATGTACAATTTATATATTTTAATTAAAATAAACATACGCACAATATTACAGGTATTGCAATTATATAGTAATTCTTATTTGAAGTTAGCCAAATATATAGATTTAAATTATTTGTGCACTTATTATTAGAAAAAAAAATAATCAAAGAGCATGTCAGAGAATTAATTCTTTTTTATTATTAAATATAACAATGGTGTAATTTTATTTACAAATGGCATAATAAAAATTTCTAATACATTATTTGAAATCTTAATGTTACTCTTAACATTAGATATATTTTTAGCAATTTAAGTGAAGAGAAGGGAAATTAAAATATAAATACAACTTATAATGTCTCTCTCTATAATTTTATATTTTTTTACTAACATAAGAAACAATTGATTTATGGCCAAGAAAATAAACAACTAATTTGAAACAGTTATAATATTTTTCAGAACTTAAAATATGTAATTTGAAACAAAATTAATTTTAACATCATATCATTGATATAGAGACTTGTAATATTTATTTTAATAGTTTAATTTTTGTTAAATAAAATTTAAATAATAAAGGCAAACTTAACTCTTGTTGCTTAATTGATACATCCATAATGGGTGAGTTTGGTAGTTAGTAAACTTAAATTGAACGAACAAATGGGAGGGTTCCAATGAATGCTGAAACTTGGAAGAAAGCACTTCTTGTCGGGTAGAGCAGCTTTTATATCTCAAGCATGAATAAGCTCACACCCAAAACATATAGCTTATCTCATAAAATCAAGTAAAAATAATATAAAAAACATTCTTTTATTCCTCATTTTAATTTCAATTTTTTCTTCACTCATAAAACTCATTCTAATTGCTAACAAGTGGATTTTGTTAGCATGACATCACATGCAACACACAGTTTATGAGTTTTGAAAAGAGTTGAGATAAAAATAAATAATCGGTGAGGCAAAGTAATTATATCAACTAGGTAGATGTTTTGATTTTGTTAATAAAAATATCATAATAATAAGAAATTATTTTTTATAATTTAGATAAAAAAAAATAGTAATAGTTATTTTTTTATCAATAAATTAGAAGGAGCTAAACGAAGAACACTAGCATGTATTTTGTCTTCTTTATCATTTTTATTAAAAACAAAAAAATAGGCAAACAATATATTGGTTGTTTCTTATAGAGAGTTTCAGAAGGAGTAACATAAATGAATATGTTCCTTAAGGACTGGCTTCAATTTCCCCCATTTCTGGGGTTAAGAATACTGAAAATCAGAAGAAGAAATAAAATGTTCAAGTTATTAAGCTGTGTATTCTTTAATTCATTAGGTCAAATTATCCATGCCTACAACTTTGTGTCACTCACTTCGCGCATGCTATGTTTGATGATGACATAGATGTCAGAGGACTGCTTCATTCATTGAGGATGGTTTTGACTCTTTCAGCCAACCCAAAACAGAAAAAGCCAAATTTTGTGGCTTCGAGTGCTTTCTCTAGTCTCTACCTCACACCAATACACTCATTTGATTGGTGTTTTAAAAGGTTGCCATTTAGCTATTAGCTATGTTTCTTCTCTATAATCTCAACACATTAATTAGGCACGCCTTAATCTTAACATGTCTTGTCAATGCTGATAAAAATCGGTAACCCATCTTGAATTCCTTGGATTCTAGTGTAGCATGCATGATTTGATTGAGGATTAATTAGGTAGACTCAGGGAGAGAGAATATTATAATTAGCATTTAGCATATGTGACTATGATCACACATTGTGCGTGATTTGATATAGAGTAGTAGCTATAGGCTGTGTGTGTGTGTGTGTGTGTGTGTGTGTGTGTGAGAGAGAGAGAGAGAGAGAGAGAGAGAGAGAGAGAGGATTAATTAGCATGAGTATGATCGATCAAGTCTTGCAATTTGATATTATCAAAGTCACATAATCTTTTTGATTTATATGTATGAATTCTAATAATAGGATAATTAATTATTTGAATAAGGCTTCACAAATTACGTATCAACAGCCTTGCTAGTTGCACATTTTTTAGTCAAAGTTTGATTTGAATTAATGAGCTATTAGTAGATCACTGATCCCTACCACGTAAGGGAAACACGGGTTTGACAACTAAACTGTTGGATTTGAACTTCCATTCTTAATAATAACCACAAATTTAGAATAGTATTAATAATACAAGACTTAGACTTTTGATTTTTCCCACTAAAAATGGGTCTGCGTGACAAAGAGCTTTCGGGTCGTGTAACTATCATTAAAGAAACCAAAGATTCTTAACATTTGATTTTAGGTTGTAAGGCAAATTAAGCCATTAACGTTGATCAAAAGTCGAGCTAACATGATAAAACTGTGAGGTTAATTAGTCATTCAGCGTAGGCCAAGTGTCAATGTCGTGGTCAAATGCTAAATTACTGAAGTTTCTCCCTCTATTCTGTATATTTTATTGTTTTAATTTTTTATATAAATTAAGAAGATTTTTACTGATACAGTGTGTTATATGTTTTAATTAAAATATTTTCGTACATATTTTCAATTAGTTTATTTATTTTTATTGAAAATTTAAGAGTAAATTGATTGTTGATATTAATAGAGAAAAAGTACATAAAAATATTATGTGATTAGTTACATTAAAATTTATTCATAATCATTAATTAAAGTATGGGTGAAAAATTAATTAAATAAGTCTTAAAAAAATCAAAACAATCAATTATTTTTTAAACAAAATTATAAGTTAAAATAACCAAGCATAAGAAATAATTGCAGTATTTAGTGTCAGGTATATTGGGTAAAAGTAATAAATAAGTTAAAATGAAATTTTAAACAAAAGTTGTTAAATTAACTTACTAAAGTAAAACTATTTAATAAAATCAGTTGTTAGATTAGTTCAAAATTTTTAAAAATATAAATAAGTAATTTATATAAATTTTAATTTAATTCTATAGATAAAATATTTTTTTATAATTATATTTTAAATATTGTATTTAATTTCGGGCTCTTTTCATTTTTTTAAAAAGTTAAATATTTTTCAAAAAGAAAACAAATAGTGTAATAACAAATAATAATAAGCAAATGAGGTAAAGGATATATCTTTGAAGACATAAATTTACCGTGTAATGCTTGTTATATTAATAAAAATATAAGTAAAATAAAGGATAATGATGTTTCACTAAATTAATAATGCATGTTTAATAACATAAAAATAATATATTTTTGTTGCTAAAAAGGAAGATAAGCATTTGTTAATTTGTGTATATTTCTTCGTAGAGAAAGTCAAACCAAATTACCAAAACCAAAACTAACTAAGAATATACAGAGTATAGTTATTTGTTGATAAAGCATTTATTTGTTAATTAAATGCTAGCAATGGTTTTCTCCACTGATTATTCCACCATTGATATTTGACTACTTCAAGCATATATAATTAAGATAAAATAGTGAGCGACTCCATGTCTCTTGCTCAAGAAACTCAAACCAACTCCAGTTTTGTCCCATCTCCATGCTCCATGGGTTTATGTGGTTAAGAATGAGGGCATTCGCATTGTGCATGTTAAATAATGCTTCATCATTTTATAAATGATTATCTTTTTCTAGACTAATTAAATCCCATTAATATGTTAAATTATGTAATGTGATATTGTGATAGTGCTAATTTGTCTTTTCAAATTATGTTTAATGCATTCTTTTAATAAAATGTAACTTTACATTCCAGGAGAATTTAATATCTCATCTCTGATAAACTCAATTACAATAACAACTACGTCAAATATTAAATCCATCAACATGCTATAATAAATTATTAAATATGCATATTTATTTAATAATATATTTAAATCATCTTAAAAATGTATAAAGTATTTAAGAATATCGATTTGGGTTAACTTGTTGTAGCCAAGATGCAAACAAGTTTGGTAAACTTTATGTTGGTAATTTATTGGCCCAGCCTCCCAACAGTTCTTGGAGAGTGAGATTGGAAAAGTCTTTTACTGGAAAATTTTCAATTTTAGTATTAAACTGTTCACTGTTTGCGCGCATGAGATACTAATATGAGAGTATTAATTGAAATTTTAAAGTGAAAAACAAAACCAAAATAGAGTTTTACTCAATTTAACTTAAAACCGGTCAACTCACGGACCTAAGAATACTTCAATCGCACTGTTTTAACTATCTAATTCATCTACAAGCCAAATTCGTTGACAAAGTTATATATTACTCAAATTGACCGCACTATCCGTACGGTTAACATGATTTAAACGTATTATAAAAAACAAAAGACAAGTATTAACATACTTCATATAATTAATGATTTAAAAAATACATGTAAAATAATTATTTATTTTAAAATGGTGAAGTGTTGTAGATGTATATTTAGTGTATGTTCTGAAAATAGGATATTGGATTAGCATTGGAAGGGAGTGAAGGAAAAAGTTTTAGGGTGGAAGGGACAGGACACGAAGAATGAAGTGAACTTTTGTCGGAAAGAAAGGAAGGAAGAATAGCATTTGCATTAGGCATTTGCAGAAGTGGGATGAGCTGGCCCAGCATGGTCTCAATTGTGCAATATGCAAAAAACTTGCAAGAAACAGCCACGTATCCTCTTGGAAACTCTGTCCCTTCAACACTGATCAAACAAATTTATTGCACCCAACCAACTCATGTGATTTTTATTAAATTAAACCCAATGTTTAATTACCATAGTTTTATAAAACAATAAGATTTTTATTTGGTACTATCTTAACTTCACTTCAACTTTGCCTTCTCATCGCAAATCATTATTAATGGTTAAAAGCCTTAAAAGGATTTTGGACCTTTTTGGATTGGTGCATCTCTATCCCCTCACACCCCTCCCATTTAAACATAAGATTTTGTCATCACTTCACATTGCAAACCATCATCATCACCGTCCCTCTTCCAAAAAGTCTTTAACCTTTAGATTCGTTTATTTTATTCTTGAGTTCCCACTTTCATAAGGCTACAACAATTCACCCTTTAGAGATAGATTTCTTTAAACATGCCTAAACCCTAATCCCTCTCTTTCTTTCCCTGTTATATCATTCTTAGTAGAGAAACAAACATGGACTTAAGCCCCAGCAACACAAATACTGAGAAAACTCAAACCCCACCACAAGCCCAACCCACCAACAACAAAGACTCAAAGTCTTCATCTTTCACCAACGGTTCCCTCAAGCGCCACCACCTCCACCCCACCACCGTCCCACCTCCACCACAGCCACCGTCCACGGTGGTTTCCTACAAGGAGTGCCTCAAAAACCATGCAGCCAGCTTAGGTGGCCACGCGCTCGATGGGTGCGGTGAATTCATGCCCTCCTCCTCTTCCTCCAACCCCGCAGAACCACGCTCTCTAACGTGCGCCGCGTGTGGCTGTCACCGTAACTTCCACCGCCGTGACACGCAAGAATACTCCAATCCCAACTTCATAAGCTTCTACCACTCACCACCACCACCATCACAACCCCACCATGGCCCAAGTTCGAGCCCAAGCCCAGGCCTGAGCGCAGATCAAAGCCCGAGCCCAATTTCAAGCCCATCCCCGCCACCACTCTCGCACCATTTCCCACCTTCCTTTCACCACCACCAATCATTTGCACCCCACATGCTCTTAGCCCTTGGAAATGATCATCACAGGAGTTTCAATTTCAATTTCAACTCTTCCATGATAGAGAAGAACCTGAGTGGGAAAAAGAGGTATAGAACCAAGTTCACCCAAGAGCAGAAGGACAAGATGCATAGTTTCTCTGAGAAGTTGGGTTGGAGAATGCAGAAAGGGGATGAAGGATTGGTTCAAGAATTCTGCAATGAGATTGGCGTTTCCAGAGTCGTATTCAAGGTTTGGATGCACAACAATAAGAACACTTTCAGGAAAAGATCATCCGAACCAGGTGAAAAGATAAATGCGAGTCGTGGTGATGATAGTAATAATCTTACAACTTAACAATGACATTCACCGAAATTAAGGTAGATTTGTCAACTTTCATGTTTCTGGTAATGGGTCATAATCATTGTTATCCGTTAATAAACTTAGAATTGGGAATGAAGCAAATAGAATTTTGGCTATTATCAGGGTTAATTTTTGTTTATTCCAATCTCAATAATTTTTGGGGTTATTTATTTCAGCTAAGGCTGTAGAAAGATCTTGTTGTTTTAGTTGTTATTAGAATTAAAATTTCATATGATAGTTTACTTTTGTTAATTTATATAAATATAACCTTTGAAGTTAATATCACTTCATAAATGTTTCACCCTCTTCTGGTGAGAGCTCTTATTGCTGTCACGTTTTGCTCTTGATAAGAGCGGGTAGAATTGAAGTAATTCATTTACTATTGTTAAAAGTATGCACCTTCCAAATGCCCATGCTTGTTTGTCCATGACACTAACTTGGTCAATCTTGCAATCTGTAATGCTATCAGTGGTTTTGTCCTTATTCATTAATGGGGCACTCCTACTCTTGCAGGGTTATCCCGTTGGAGATAATGTTTTTTTAATACCTTTTGATGAAAACATTGCATTGCATGATGCAAGCCTCTAAAATTTAATCTTTCTCTTGTAATTTATCATGCATACTCGGATGAATTTCTGATACAGATAAGTGGTACTAGGCTTGTTTTCTTTGAGGGAGGGAGAAAGAAAAACTATAATGCTAAAGGGTCTTCTGAGCTGTGAGTATTTAAAAAAATTAAGAATAATATAAAAAGGAAAGATATTATGTAGATATGAGTATTAATATGTTTAGAGTAAAAAGAAACAAGGAAGATCTGTTTGGGAACTAGAACTCACATTGAAAATGACACTTGTCTATTCTCGTGTTTATAAAGAATTATTTAATTAGCATAGTCTTTAGTGCATCTGTGCTTAGAAGGCAAGCAGGATGGTTAGGTGATTAATCATAAACTGGTAATCTTTAATGGAGGCTGTGCCTTAGACTAACGTGTCACCTTTCCGTATTGGCCTTCGTCAATGAAACGGCGACTTTTGTTTTATACTGCTAATCATTTCGCTCCTGTCAGCAAAGCCACTTAAAGATTTGTCATTCATTAATAACTATTCACTTTTTTTAATACATTATATAAACACTGTTAAATTCAAAAATAAATATACATTATATACTTATTTTTAAAAATATTTACTTAATAATTAAAACTCACATTTTATATATAAAAGTAAATTCATGAATTAAATAGTTAGTTTGATTCACTTTAAATGTGTATAATTGTCTTTTTACATTGCCATGCCATTTCTTTTTCTTTTTTTTGTCTTGTTTATTAATTTTTTTATAATTAATTTTAAAAATATAAAAAACTATTTTTTATTAAATATAATATAACCTTTCTATGAGGATGTTTAAAATTTGAATTCTTTTAAAAATATAGAAAATATAAAATTAATCATGAGTAATAAATTGAATGTGTCTTTTATATCTTGCATTTTAATATATCTTGCATTTTTTTTTCTTTTCTCATTGTTTTTTGTCTAGACTATTTTCAGTTGGAAGGGGCATTTTTTTTTTAAATATTTATTCAGTTCATGTGTTGAATGAACTAAGCCCAATTCAACGACAGAATAGCCCAAACGAAATGAGTGGATGATATGATAAAAAAAGAGAATGAGTGGACATTACCAAAAATAAGATGAAATAAGTGGTGGATATGTAGATGCTCGAATATCCTTGAATTTAAGTGTGCTAGCTGCTACTTCTTTGAATTTGTATATTAGAATAAGAAATATGTTATATTTTCTTAAAAGACTATCTTTATAGCTATTTCAATTGCTTAAAAATTTAAATCATTTTTAGAGAAGGGGTGGTCTACAGTAATTCTAAGTTGTATTTTAATTCTATTTAAAAATCTCTTATCAATGATAGTTATGAATGAGGTTATGTTAAATTGAGTAACAAATGTGAATAAATATACAAGTGACATTAAAGTTGATGACAATGAAGGTAGTAAGATGAGGGAATAATAATAATAATTAGTAGCAGTGATAAAAGTAGTAATAATAACAATAATAAGCAATGATAGTAATGCAGGTAAACTTATAATCATTTATAAAATAATTAACAAAATCTCAAACAAATTTTGTAATACAAGATAATATCATTAGGGTCGATCTCTTATGGAACTCAATGCATTCAATTGAATCAAGGGTGTGGTAAAGTAAATTTAAAAAGGAGTTAGTGTGCTGTTAAAACATGACTAAAATTTAAAAGAGAATCAATTCATGTTGCACAAATAAATTACCTTCGCCTTTGCAGAGATGCATTTTTTTTTTCCTGTGAAGACTTTCTTCTACAATTTCTTTGATCATGCTATGCTACCTATGTTGGAACTATCATCGTTGGTGAACCTACAAACGATTTGCATAATCCTTCAAATCTACTACGTGGATTCCAAAACTTCTTGAAGTGATGGAACTCAAACCCAAAAGGATGAATTTGAGACCACCCACCCACCAGCCCTGTTGAACATTTTAAAAATGGGCCCTAAAATTTATCTTGATGGGCTTCATAAATTATTCTAAGATTGTTTTGCAATTTTAAACTCTTTAAAAAAATAATTATAATTAAAAACATAAAAAAAGCATGTCACATAATTCTTTAATGACATAATATTTTAATCAAAAGTTAATAAAAAATGTACTTTTACTTTTTCATTACTCATTTATTCACTTTAAAAGTTAAATACATATTAACTAATCCACCGACCTGTGACAAATTTTCACTGAGAACAATACACTACATCGTTTCCCTCGAGGTGTTGGTATCTGGGTCCACTCTATCTTTCTATGCCATGTGCAATGATCCCAAATTCGATATGCATGTCCACTCGAACTTAAACACCTCTAATTCAGCTAAAATAGTACAGAATTTGAGCCCACCTTACACATGGTATTGCAAGTTTATCTGATGAATCAGTGTCGTGATCCAATCTATACCTCAAATCCAAAGCCATGCTGCTTGTTGCTCAATGCCATGCTCATGAAATTTAGTCCATCTATCCCCGAACATGTGTCCTTCCTCTCATTATTCTTCATCTCTGGTTGGTGCCATTGCATTCTATAGTACAATTTTCCATTCTCTCTCTCTTTAAGATTTCATTTAATCACTAGATTCCTATGTATAATTGGTGCGGTTTGGAAGACTACATTTTCACTGTTCACTCCACAACATCATTCATGCAAGGAAGAGCACTGAACAAACTCTCCCAGATTATTCCTTCAACTCTTGCTGCTAACCCATATATAGGTAACCTTAAATTATTCCAGTTTTTACTTTTCCATGAGTTTTAGTCCATTACCTTTTTATATATAACTAGATATTTAATTATTCATCTCTTTTAACAAATTTTATGTGGGGAAAGGGAGATTTTATTTTTGTATGAGATTCAATAATCATTATCTTATGATTCAAATAGTGTGAATAGTGTGCAATGCTAATACGTAGTACAAATTGATTGGCATGAAGATGAGGAGGACATCATTGTTGTGGCCCGGTCTCATGAAGCAATGATGCAGAGTTTGTTTCTTGGGGAACAAACTGGAACTTTTTGGAATTGAAATACGAGAGAAAGTAAGAATAAAACCACATAAAATGAAATCATTAAACTTGTTTCAAATTTTTATTTATATAAGAATGCAATTTATCTTATTTCCAACATCAAACTGATACGGAATAAAACCATTTGTTTTATAAGTTAATAAAACAATTATACTACCAAACAAAAAGTATATAAAAAATAATTTATACACATTGCATTTAATTTTACAAAAATATTATTATTTAACGACTTTTTGTCGTATAAGACAATGAAAAAAATTACAGAATTCAGGGATATTAATTTGGTTTAAATATTGTGGATTCCGTTTGAAGGGATTTTTAATTGCAAGTTATAAACTTTTAAAAATCAAAATTAAGTTTTAATTTTATAATTTGATTTTTATTCTTATGATAGTTTTTAAATTTTAAATGCAAAACATATAATCACTCATTACACACTTACATTTATTTGTTAAAAAAATAATATAACAAAGTAATAATAATGATAATAGCCGTGAATGATGAGAAATATAGCAATAAATTATTAAAATAATGACAATTATAATTCTAACAATCATAATGAAAATAATAATAATAATGATAATAGTGAATTAATTATAAAATTTTATTAAACTCAACCTTTAAGACGAAAGATAAACAGTTGATAATAGTAAAATTTTATTAAAAAATATTTATTATATTTTTATAATTTTAATATAATATTTATATATTTTTTTTATAAATTTTTTTTTATTTATAAATACTTAAATTCAATCTTAAAAGTCGAAGTTAACAAAATATTTAATTATAATAGTAATATCAACAACAATAATTATCTTAATAATAATAACAATAATAGTAAGTGGTTAAAAACTAACTTAAAATAAATAATACAAGTAATTATAATTATCACAACAATATTTATGATATTTATAACATAATAATGATAACGACAATAGTGAGAATAATAACATAGATAACGATAATACGATAGATAATAGTAATAATTATTATTGAAATGACAATAATTAAGAAAGTGATGTTAAAAAAAAAATATTAATTATTATTATTATAGTTATAATAATTAATGATAATAACTATATTATTAACTATAATAATAATAATAATAATACCAAGCAGTAAAAACAATACAAGGATGATAATAAACTGATGAGGTTTAAAATAATGACACACTTGAGTTTGATCTAGATAGGTAAACGTTAATTCTTCAAATTTTATTTTTTTATGCTATCAGAGGGATGCGAATATATAAACTGTAAAGACAACTTTACTGTGAAGTATATAATAATTATATTACAATTATATCTATTAAATAATAACTTTAATACTTATTCTAAGAGCTTGTGAGTTTAGTTAGTCCATATATAATTGGTCTTAAATAAGTTTCTGAATTTAAATTTTGTATAAAAAATTATTAAAAATATTAATCATACCATATATTAGATTTTTTTTTTGTTTAGAATATTAAAAAAAAACAAGAAACTCGTTCCATACTTAATAATAATTAGAAAACATAACCCATCTTTGAATTAAATATTTTATATTATCGTTTCAAATTTTGAAGATATTTTCCTTTTAGCAAACTATTTAAACAAGAATGTTTGTGGGCACGTGTCCTCAACTCTCAATTTATCCAAATTTTATTAAAAAAATGAAATATTTTATTTTTCTGTCCATTTTCATATATTTTTAAATAAAATCTTGAACTTAATTAAAGTTGATTAATGTACTGTTTCTAGTCAATTGTTGCGTCTATATCACGCAATTTTTCTTATCTATCCAAAATACCTTGTATTAAATAGTGGGGGTTGGGGGTGAAGCATAATCTATTTTTACTCGTACACTTATGCAATTATTTAAATTTCTATACAATTAAAAATTATAATGTTTCTTAAATGTAAAAATTACCTTCTAAAATTAGTTGGTTTTTAGTAAACTTTATAGTTTATGATAAAATCACCGAAGAAAAAAACCTCTAACTTATGGAAAATGCTTGAAAGCAGGACAAAGAATTCGTGTGGTAAATGTTGTAAATTCTGATTGATTAATAGGTTTTATTTATTTATTTATTTGACCAATGAAACCCATTTTCAAAACTTTAGTTAAAATACCCTCAATGCACACTCAAAATTTTAGAACACGTTATAAATATAAAAATCATTTGCTATAGGTTATTTTATCTTTATATAAAAAATAAAAATTACAATGGGAGTTTACTCCTTTATTTTTCTTTACACGTGGTAAGATCTAATGAATTGAATTGCCATGGTCTTGCTTTAGATGTCAAGGCATTCCTTAAGAGTTTGAAGTATCTTTTTCTTTCCAATTTAAAGCTGTAGAAGAACATGGGAAAAGAAAAAGAAGAAAAAGTCATCTAATTGCAACCTAATTTTCCTTTTTAAAGTGTATTGCCAAACCATATCGTTGCATGGAAATGCAACTAAAGCTCTTCCATTATTGACTCTCTGTCTCGTGAGTCATGAACGTCCCCAAAACACGTTGAAATCTTAGTTAATTAGGCCATGGTTTATTAGTTGAGTCGGCAACATTACTCCTATAGTTTTGGTACCTTCAAATCAAAGAACAATGTTTCCACAATGATTTTTTAAAACAAAATGAGATTATTGAACAAAATTATATTACATCAATTGAAAAAAACATGTTAGTAGTATTCATTTTCACTTATATTTTGATATTTTCCTCTGCTGGCATAATAGGCATGCTTACCACTAACCCATGTTTTTCATAACCAAAATGATTGCTAAGGCATTAATGTGTTTTGATGCACTGAAATTGACATGCACCATCTGCCAAAAAACACCGTCCAAACAGAAGGAGATGACGGAAGACGGCATGCACTGAATATGAATTATGCTATAAATTGACTACTAAACCTAAAACAATTCCAAGTGGCTCCATTTCGATCACCACGTTCACATCCAAAAGAATCTATTATTAAGAACCCATCGTTTAAAGGTTTCCTTTGCGATCAAAACATTAGAATAAGAGATAATGTTTTTAATGTTGTTTTCTAATTAAAATCAAAATTTCATTTCAAAATCTTTTTAATTACCAAATAATATATGTTATATTGCAACTAAATTTTATTAAAAGAAATATATCCTAGTTGAAATGTATATTGTATGCTGGTGGTAGAGGCTTTTCTGAGAGTTATCTTGTGCCATTTTCCTTCGTGACGCCACAAACAACTATTATTAACCAGTGCAGTGTCACATCCAAAACGAATTCAATAGCCCTTTGCATGTAGTTAATTATAAGAAATTGATAAAGATGTAATTGCCCAAAATTAACGATAAGGCACTGATTTTTCCCTTTTGTAAATGAGAAAAAGTATTGCATTTATACGTCTAAAATTATACAAATAACCTTAATATGTCGTATTTTTCTTAAGTCCGGTAACTTGATTTATAAAAAAAAACAAAACAACAATCTCATCTTTGTTAACGAAGATTTATCTAACCTTTTCTATTTGTAGACACATTGCTAAACTACAAATCTTCACTCTACTGATCATGAGTATAGTATAATTGTTGTCGTGTATGTTTTACCCTTAACAAAATCACACATTGACATAAATAAATATATTATTTAGACATGCATTTTGGATTCATTTATCAACTTTTTTTATTCAATGAAAAAATTTAGAATTTCACGTTTCATTTAGATAAATCTATTTTCCAAGAGTGCTCATATTGATATAAGATCTTTCTTCTTACACTAATTCATCGTTCATATTTATTTTCCTCCTAGCAGGTGGGGTTGGTTTCTAGAACACAAATCAGTGCTAATGGGAGCTAATTTTGTACCAAGATCTAAAATTAAAAATAAAATAAAAACCATGATTCTTCTTATCCCTACCAACCCAAAGAAGAGAAACTTTCATTGTTGCCAAGCATTCAAGACATTGACCCACTGAATCCAAACACCACCCATAAATTCCAAGTTAAGTGAACAAATAAGGTACAAAATTTCCTTAAAGGCAATCACAGTCCACTTCAACTCTCTCAAACGTGTCAAGCAGAATACCACGTGCTACCACAAAAAAATATACATAAACAAACGCAACTCTGTTAAGGAAACTACTTAACTGTCAGTGCTACTATAACCAAACCTACTAAATGATACTTTTAATGTGCTTAAAAATATATAATAAAAAATTATTAAAATTTACTATAAAATAAATTTTTATTATATGTCCCTATACTTTTGCTAGAAAAAAGATTAAAATAAAATATGCATTTGCTGTCTAAAACTGGCACGTTGTTTTCTTTCCTTGTATAGATGTGCACAATCTTCTCCCACAATCTCGCTCCTCTGGTCCAAAAATAAATGATCATGCCCAGATCTTGTTCTGCCACTGATTTCGCTGTCTGCAAGTGGCAAGAGTCCACTTTCCAACAATGAATGTTTGAAATGGAGAATTGAGAAATTTCCATGACCCAAGTCTCCTTCACCTTGTGACTTGGTTTGGAATTTCGTGGACATAAAAACAAAACCTTTCATTTCCCAAGGTTGATTTGATGATTTGGATTGGATGGGTACCAAGAGCTTCTTTATGCTTAAAACCCACGTTGCTTCCATAAACATACGGGAGGTGAATGATTTTGTTTATGAGAACATGTTGGGGGCTTTTGGTTCTCTGAGAGGTTTCATCTCTAACTATGTGCTCTTTGCGTTTGGATTGGTGCTTAGATACATCTTCAGGTTTGGTTAAATTTTGTTGCTATTTTCAAGTGTTTATGTGATGAGTGAGTGGAAAGTGAGTAATGCTTTTTTTTTTTCTTGTTTGATTCCAGGTTACTTCATTTAGGAGATGAAAAGGGGAAGGTCATTGTTCCGCCTCTTCCACAAGCTGATGGAGCCAAAAGGAACCATTTTTGTGATTCTGAGATTGATGGGTTCCGAGAGGAGTTGGCTAATTTTCTGTTTTGGAGTGAAGATGAAGGAAGTGAAGAGATAGAAGGGGAAACAGAGTGCTTTGTTTTTTCCATGGAGACTGTTTCTGAAGAAAGTGAGAAAAGAGAAGAAGAAAATGGCTGCTCTGTTTTAATGGAGGCCTACTTTGATGTTGCAGAAGGTAGTATGGAAACAGAAGTGAAAGCAGAGAGCTCTGTTTCAAAGGAGATTGATTTTGACATTCGTGATGATTTTATGGATAGAGGACCAGAAGAAGATGGATCTGTTGCTATTGAAAGTGACTCTGCTAACTCTATTCTTCACGAAGATAGTGTGGAAAATGGAGGTGAAACAAAGGGTCTTGTTTTCATGGAGACTGATTCTGGTGTTCATGAAGATGGTAAAAAAGTGGATGAAGATGAAACAAAGAGCTCTACTTTCATGGAAAATGGCTCTGATCTTTATAATGATAGTATGAAAAGAAAAGAAGAAGAAGAAACAAAAGAAGCTGTTTCGATGGAGGTTGGTTCTAATGTAGATAAAGATGTTAAGAAAATTGATGAAAATGAAACAGAGATCTCTGTTTTAATGGAGAATATTTCTGGTGTAAATGACAGTGGTGTGAAAATTGAAGAAGATGAAACAGAGAGCTCTGTTTTGGAGGATGACGAGTCTAAATTTGATGCCGATAATATGAAGAAAGAAGAACAAGAAGAAGAAACAGTAACAACCACAAGCAAGTGTGAGTACTTGTCAGGAAACGATATAAGAGGGTTTATGGAAGAACCAACAACATTAAGGTTCAGTTTTCGAGAATTTTACATGGGTTCAGAAGTTTCAACCGTTTCTGACAATGCATATGCCAACACAGAAATTATTGCCGACAAGGTATTTTCAGAGTTTGGTTCAGAGAAAGATCCTGGAGCTCAAGAAGAAAGAGAGGAATCTGTTCAAGAGGTTTCAATTTCACCCCTCTCTACCAATGTTCCACTTTGCTTTGAGAGTGATGTGTTTGGTGGAACGGATTCATCTGATGAAGATTTTTTTCTTTACAATGAAAACTCACTCACATCTGATTCAGAATCAGAGTCATCTAGCTCAAGTGGTCTAATCTGGGGCAATTGTAACAGAATTGATGATTCAATTGATTATCAGTTTCTGGGTGGTAAAAATTGTGGTGAAGGTTTTGAACCTGAGATTCTGAAGCTGATGATGAGAGAGGAAAGAAAAGAAGATGTGGAGAAGAAACAAGGTTCATGTGATAGAAAAGTTACTGAATTTAAAGTTCATGATATTTTTTCTGAATCTGAAGATGAGTATGTAGAAATGGAACCTTGCATGAAGGGTTTAAAGTCCTTGAATGCACATGGTTTTGGTTGTAAAGAATCTGTCAAAGATATAAAAGAAGGTCCACAAAATGAAGAAAATAGGTGGGAAGATGAATTGAGTGAATCAGAATCTGATGAGGATGACTTTGAATGGGAGCATGATGATTTAGTGGAACAGCTGAAATTGGAATTAAGAAATTCAAGGCAAGGAGGACTGGCCACAATTTTAGAAGAGAAGGAGGAGGAAGAGGAAGAGGAAGAGGAGATGGAGGAGGTAAGAGTGTCTCCAAGAGTGGTTGAAGATCTAAAGCCACTGAAAATTGAAGAGAAGCTTGAACACAGGGATCAAATTGATGAAATTGAGAAAGTTTACAAGAGCTATGCAGAGAAAATGCGGAAACTTGATATCTTGAATTACCAGACCATGCATGCTTTAGGTGAGAACTTTGTTAACTTCATTTCTATGTTTATACTTTTGCAGTGGAACATTTTTAGAATTCAGATTTGCACAATTTCATTGTTTTTGGTAAACTTCAGCATGTTGCTTAAAGATCAAAACATGAAGTCTTGAGTCTTCAATCTTTACCATATTGATCCCATATGCTTAATTAGAAGTTCTATTTTTGACACTTCCAAAACTGCAGATTGAAATTTGTTCTGGTCTAGTTTCATAATTTTTTTTATGAACTTTTGTCACATTCGATTAGATTGATGATCAATTTTTAAGAACACTCTTGGATACAATCATGAAATGGTGGGCCATTACATATCTTACACCCATCATATTTTGCTAATTATGTGTACATAAAGTTATTCATATCTTTCTCATTTTCCAATAATAAAGCCAAAGTTTGTGACTCGTCTGCATCATAAATTTCGATTCCATTCTCTAGCAATCTTTTTCCTACTTTTCATGGGTGTACTTTATACATCATAAGCACCATTAAAATATAAGTGATTGATTCTCCTTGTTCTACTGTACAAATCATTAAAAAAAATTGAAGGAACCTTAAATATTACTTTTAGAGCTTTGACTATGTTTGGTTTAGTGGTTTCTATTATTATACTTTAAGCAAAGAAAACTTATTTATTTAGTAATAATCATGCTTTCTCTTTGTTTATGACTAACTCATCCATTTTGTCATCATCAATTGCAGGTCTTCTTCAACTAAAAGACCCTCTCAAATTAACTTCAATACCAAAATCCACAATCCCAGGTTCAAAGCCAGCAATCTCTCAGAATTTGTGGCCACGCAAAGCATCAAAGAACACATCTGATCCACTTATGAAGATTGTTCATGAACTGCAAAGAGATTTGGAATTAGTATATGTTGGGCAGGTTTGCCTCTCTTGGGAAATCCTGTGTTGGCAACACAAGAAAGCCCTTGAGTTACAACAACATGATTCACAAGGGTCTCATAGGTATAATCATGTAGCTGGTGAGTTTCAACTTTTTCAAGTCCTAGTTCAAAGGTTCATAGAGAATGAGCCATTTCAAGGGCCTAGAATTCAGAACTATGTCAAGAACCGTTGTGTGATTCGCAACTTGCTTCAAGTTCCAGCCATTAAAGGTAAATAAAATGAACCATAATTCAGTTCTTTAATAATATAATTATGTATACTTATACGATCAGCTCAATTAATAGATAGATAAGTTCTTTGAGTATATTGATTATAAAAAATATTTATTTTAGTAATATACTTATCTTTAAAGAAATTAGTCTCTAATAATTAACTAAAATTTCTTTTAGTGTGTATAAAAAAATATTACATATATATTGAAGTCAATTTATTTTTTTACCCTCCCTTCACATAAGTTTGGGTTCCTTATGCTGATTATTTTTGTCATGATTGCTTTGCAGATGATAGTAAAGGGGATGAGGAAGAGGATGATATTGGAAGTGGAAGGTTAGCAGAGATCATCAAGGAATCGATGAGGGTGTTCTGGGAATTTCTTCGAGCAGATAAAGATTATGGGAATGTGATTTTTAAAGTTTCTCAACAAAACAGAACTAATCTTAAAGATCCTGCAATTTCAGGTCTTCTAGTGGGCATTCGAACACAACTACATAAGGTATGCTTTTTGACACCACCATTTAGTTGTGAAATTATAAAATTATTATGTTAATCTCTTAAATTATTAAACGACGAGTTTGTTTAAATTCTTAACGTTGCAAAATAATAATTATTTTATTTCTTAAAATTACCAAAATTAAAATTAAAATGAATTGTATATAACAATTTCAAAATTTTAAAATGATATTTTCTGTAATTTTAGAGAGTAAATTAATTTTAGAAATTAATTTAATATATTGTTTGTTATTTTAGTCTTTTACTTAAGCCTTAAGAAAATGTGACCAAAACTATGGTTGGAATGTGATTTTCAGTCTTGAGGAAAAGTGCATAAATTGGGTTTCCTTATTGAATCAAACAAGCTGTTAGTATATATATATATATATATATTAAGAACTAACATGAATGACTTTTTTTTTTCCAAAAATCAAAGATTAAAATAACTGTTTTAGTAAAACGAGGACTAAAATAATTGGTATGGAGTAAGTAAAGGGACGATTTGTTTATTATTTTTTGTTGAAACTTGATGAATTCGGTTGCTTACAATCTTGAGTTGCATGTTGAAGAAGGAGAGAAGGCTGAAGGACATAGTGAGAAGTGGAAATTGCATAGTAAAGAAGTTCCAAAAGCACCATGAAGATCAACTTGATCATGAACAATTGGTTGCTCAGGTTGGGTTGAGATTGATTTCAAGGGTCGTAAACATGTCCAAGTTGAGAAAAGAAGAGCTAATATGGTGTAATGAAAAGTTACATCGAATCAAATTTTTGAGCAGGAAGATTGTTCAAGTGGAACCATCCTTCATGCTTTTTCCATGTTGACTCAAGTCAATTCTTCTCAAATGTAGAGGAAGAAATATGCTAGAGGAATAGATATAGATACTTTTTCACAGAAATCATATCATAGCTTACATAGAAATTAGACACATATCACAAAATTCTCAGTGTAAATATGTATGCTATATATAAGCTTCGTGTTTATTCATCATCAGTTCAACCTATGCATGATCCTCTCGAGTAATTTGAAAGAACGATTATCTAAAACCACCGGCTTTATTCTTAACACAGAGACATATATCAGCTATAAAAACCAAAATGCCAGTTATTTGAAAGAACATATCAAGTACAAAGGTTTATATACATGTCCACAACAAAATAGGGAATAACTCTTTTTTATATATAATTGTAACATAGTATTTGAGTCAACATAACACTAGTTTTCACTGATGATGGGACCTATAAAAGAGAATAAGAAACCCTTGGAGTAGATGTCACACACTGTTAATGACATAATAAATAAAGTAAATTAAAAGGAAAACTAAATAGTGATCCAAGCTTTTAGGAAATTAACATAATTTAATAATAAGTAAACAAAAGGAGTTAAAGCAAATATCTTAAAGTGAAAAGTTATTTTTCAAGACTTGCAGATAATTGCAAAAAAATTTTGAAAAAAATAATTTATCCACAAAACATAAAAAATTAATCATAAATAAATTACACTGATAAAAAAAACTAAATAAATTCAAGATAGGGAGACAAGCTCAATTTACCAAGTTATATATTAATGGGGTGATGGCCAAGGTCCACTCCTTGGAACCATGTGAAACGATCTCAAATTAAGGGGCATGCCTCACTCAGCTTAATCTCACAATGGGTCCATTTCAGCCTATCATATCATAATAAGGTAAAGGTCCTTTTGCTGAGTAGTGTGTATGAGCAAGAGATGTTAAGAATATACTATCTAAAATACTATTTTTAACCCAAATTTATTAAAAACATAAAAAATATTAAATAAAAAATAAAAATAGTGATGTACACATATTTTATTTTATTTTTTATAAACTTTAGTTAAGTGTATTGCTACTGAAGATTTTATATATATATAAAGTTGGTAAGTATTTTCACGTTGACAATTTAAAACTATCTACATAGCTATCTCACCTTTTTATGTTGACTTATAGTAAATTTTCAATAGCGTTTATTATTATGTCCATAAATTTAAAAATTAAAAATAAGATTTTATATATTTTTAAATTAACAGTTATAATTATTTTAATATTTTAAAAAATAAAAAATATTTATATTTTTTAAAATAGACTATTAAATTCACTATTTATTATACATGTTTATTGTAATATTAACTGTGATAATTATTTTATTTATAAAGCATTTAGAATGCCTTTTTCATTTTTAAAGTATCATAAAAATTATTTTTTAATTACTAAGAAATTTCTTTTTTATACATTACAAATTTTTTTTAGTAAATAATAATGTTCACAATTATTTATATCACTCCATTACCATTATCAACTATTTTATTGATAATTTTTATGAGCAATTTAAGTTTATGTAAAATTTTAAAAATATGTATTAAATATATGTTTAAAAGAAAAATTTTAAGATTATAAAAATATGTATTAAAATATAAAATTTATTGAAAAATTAAATTTATTAAAAAACACATAATTTTAAGAGGTTATTTGAAGAAGAGAATTTTAAAAAAAGAGAGAGAGTAAAATTGATATTTTAAATAAATATATTTAAAATTAATATTTTTAAAAAAATAATAGATATAAATTAGAATATTAATAGTGTATTTATTATCATAAATAATATATAAATTTTTTAATTTAAAATTAAAAAATATACACTCTCCTTTCTTCCTCTCTAAAAATCTCCTTTTAAATATAACTGAAAGAAACGGTTAAAATTAATTTTACTCATATAAGCATTATTTGTTTAATTTATAATAAAGATACAAACTTATAATAAAATTGATATATTTGTGAGAATTAATTAATAATATTACAAATGTAAATTTTTACACTATTGTTAATGATTAAAGTTGATGATTATAAACGTTTTTTTTTTTCGCTCATTATTTTAATTTGGTCTTATTATTGATTGAAAATTTGCATGTTATGATACACGAGCAGCCATCGAACGGTGACGAATGAGTGAGTCTCTAGAGCCGTTAGATCTAGGTCTTCAAAACACTGTAATCACCTTTTTATACCTGCTTGCGGCGCTTGTACTGGCTCCTCTGAAAACCCTAGCAACGTACGTAGACGCGGACACAGAGCTCGATCGAAGATGGTGCAGCGTCTCACCTATCGCAAGCGCCATAGCTATGCCACAAAATCCAACCAGCATAGGGTTGTCAAAACCCCTGGTAATACCTCTCTTACTCTCACTCTAACGCGCTTTTGAATTCGCATTGTTCATACACGTGGCATATTCGTATTTGTTGTTCGGTTGTGATTCTGATCGAAGCGATTGCATTTCCAATCTTAAATCGATTTTGTTTGATTGTGTTCTGTGTTGTGGGAATAATGCAGGTGGGAAGCTCGTTTATCAGAGCACTAAGAAGAGGGCTAGTGGACCCAAGTGCCCCGTTACTGGCAAGAGAATTCAGGGGGTGCGTATTGCATTGCTCCTTCGAATTTTTCTTTTTAAATGTTTAGGGTTTTGTGGTTCTGCCATGTTTTGTTAGATTGTGTTTGCAGAAACAGTGTGCAGAAGTTTTTTTTTTTTTTTTTTTGCCATGTTTTTTTAGATGGTGTTGGTAGAGAGTGTTTTTCTCTTCCTTTTTTTTTAAATTTTTTCCGCCTCTATGATACTTTGCCTTGAATTAGCAATGATATTTGTTAAGTATGATACTAGATAATAGTTTGTGTGTATGATTGAGCTGCATGAGACTGGAAGACAAAGTTACAGAGCATTAATATTAGTGCATTTAGGTGAAGATGGCGATGCAAACTTTTGCGTCGTAGTTTGTGTTATGATTATCGTGTAAATTAACATGCTTTTTTTAGCTTCATGTCATGTGATAGGTATTGAATGTGGTTTCAGATGGATTTATGTTCATTCCTGCTTTAGTTGGATTTCAAATTGATTTGTGGTTGTTGAATGGCTTGTGGATCAGCCTTGGCTTGATTTGTGAGTGGGTGTGTATAAGCTCTTCACAGAATTTTTCGCACCAGATGATTTTGCTTTAGTTGAGACATAGTATGTTTCCTGTATTTGGATAAATTTGCATAATTGTTTCAACTTCTAAGGTTGTTGCTGTAATATATGCTTGATAATGGCAGATTCCACACTTAAGGCCTGCAGAATATAAGAGGTCAAGGTTACCTAGAAACCGAAGGACTGTTAACCGGGCATATGGTGGAGTCTTATCTGGAGGTGCTGTTCGGGAAAGGTCTGTTCTGGTCAACTTTTAACGGCTATATAGTGATAGTAACTTGTATAAATTGGTGGAGTAAATTGCATATACCTGATTCTGTTTCCACAGGATTATTCGGGCTTTCTTGGTTGAGGAGCAAAAGATTGTGAAGAAGGTCTTGAAGATCCAGAAGGCGAAGGAAAAGCAGGCCTTGAAGGGTTGAATTCAGACTACAAAATGAGACTCATCTTTTTGGAGGACGTTTAGGTTTGAGTGGTTATAGTAATATCACAAATTTTATTAGAGTTGTTCTTAAGTTAATTGTCCTTATTTGGCTTGTTTGAACTCTTTCTAGAGCAATTGTAAACTTTGTCGACAATTCCATTGTGATTCAGTTTTGTTTGTCACAGTTTTTCTATTGATGGGTTATTGGTATCATCTTGTTTCTATATATTATAATAGGACTTTGTAATTCCACTCCAACCGGAATGTCTCAATTCTGGTTACCATAATAGTGGCATTCTGCTATTAAAATGGTTTTTTTTTTTTTTTGGGGGAAAATTTCAATCTTTTTCTCCGTATTTTCAGCAGAACCTTCTCGACAATATTCCAAAACAGTAAAACTATATCAGTAACATTTTTCAGAAATCCTTGTTTTTTAAACTTCTTTTGTGAAGTTAGAACAGAAGATTATTTCTATTAGAAAGTTGAATAAAAAAGCAAACTTTGGATGATTTAATGTATTGTTTATATTCAACATGTGCCCAGAAAAGTGTTTAAAGCAAAATGTGCCGTTGGGGAAGGATCAAAAGGATGTTGTATGCATGCAACGAACAAATCACAAATGATCAAACAAGGATGGGAGCAATCATGTCTTCAATCTTAGCCGCTAAATTGGTTTGAGTTGGCAATGTTTCCTATATCAGGTTATGTTCCTTCAGGGCACGTTTACATTATTCATGTATGATATGCTTGTTGGGTTCAACAATTACCGCATGATTTCAAGGAGGGGTTCTATGACCACTATATTGTAGGTCTTGTTCAACGCTTTTGCAACTGGAGTGACAATTACCTACCACAATTTGCGCGGAGTCCTAACTTTTCGTAGTTGAAGAAGTGGACTTGCCCTTCATCGTTTTTCAAACAATTGAAGTCTCAAACTAGTTAAGTTTGCGTGGCGCAGCTGATCCATACATACATTTATGTAGAAGAAAAGGAGAACTCATAGCAGCAATAGCGTCTCTCAAAATAGTTGGGTTAAAATGGACTTGACACTGATAGAATCCACGTATTTGTGTAGCAGTGTATGCCCTGAAAATTAAGGGCTAGTGCCTCCCTGGTGTACCCTGATAAAAATGGAAGCACTGTATTGGGAGCGAACAAAAGGTTGGGCAAATTTGCCTTTTTGAGTGCTAACATGGGATTAAATAGATTCCTTTGAAGAGTAAACTTTGATTACTTCTGCTTTGTTTTTTGAGGTCATTGTCGTCCCCTTTGAATACACGAGGACAAGGATGTTGGCTTTCTGATGGTAGCCATTGCAATGATTCTTAATAAGGAGAGCAAAGTAGCAGTTCCCATGAATCACTGAAAGACTGCAAATATTCCCATCATAAATTTCTACCACAAATTTTTAAAATAACAAATTTTTTTCTACCTCTTTCCATCCCATCACCCATCTTATCTCTCAATTTCCCCCCTCTCTTCTTGTATCTCAAAGTTGTAATAAAGATTGTACATTTTTTTTTGGACAAATAACATTTCTCTATATAAATCTGCTTGAGCAACAATGAAGTCAGAGGAAAAACGAAGTCAAACTATTGCAAATTGCAATGCCTTGCGGCCATTTCCTTGCTGACAGCAGTGAGTTGACTTTTTCTAAAAAAACTATACATGTCCACAAATTGTCCATTTCTTATAAGACAAGATACCTTTTTTTTAGAGAAGAAAGCACATTTTATCTGTCTGTATTTCTGCAGTTATCTTAATGAAACTACACAATTCTATTTCCATCCAAAATTTTTAAAGGTTCCTGGTTGAAAAACATTATAAATATTCGATAAGAAATTGCAACTATGTACAATGTAAAATGACCTTTTTGTTTGCCTCAGATTGAATATCTCATGTGTTTCACGTTTCATAAAGCTTGTGAAATAAATCATGACCACCGTTTTTCATAGATTGCCATATAAACCAACCGGGCTGTCATATGGAACAAAAATAAAAGCAACCTTTTATTTGTAACCCAAGTAAAGCATGTTCTAATACACTGGCGTGAGAAAATTACATAGGAAACTACTGTTACACTTTATTTAGTAGCATAGCAAGAATTAAGAGTACATGCTTGGTGCTTCCAGTTCAAGTTCCAAGATCAAGCTATGGGCGAGGGAACAACAATGCTTTTGATCTTGGCCACCAACTTGTCATGAGGAGGCAGTGTCTCCTTCATCAGAGGATGTTCCTTCAGAGCATTCACCCACATGAAAAATGTTGGGTTCTTATTGGGTCCTATGACCTCTATATTACAGGCCTCATGATATGCTTTGTAGGTGCAACAACTTGAACCTACCACAATGTCAAGGAGTCCTAATGTTTCCTCATTAAAGAAATACAATTGCTCATGGAAATCTTCCTTGACCCCTTCTTCAAACACTCTAAGCATCTCATTCATATCTTCAATTGCTTTCTCTCTCGCTTCCCCATTTGATAAGAGGATGGAGTTTGTGCCCGGCATGATCTGAAGATTTGCAAAATTAATGTTGTTAATAGTTTATCAAAATGACCACTGGCACACACACAAATATAGAAAAGGAGAAAATAACTAATGACAATGATTTACTTTCTGATCGAAGTAGTTGGCCCAAAAACGGACTTTGGCCCTTTGATAGGGATCCTCTGGTAAAAGTTTGGGACTGTGGTTCCAAATGTCATCTATGTATTCAAGAATGACAAGTGACTCGCAAATTGACCTTCCTTTGTGCAAGAGTACTGGAACCTTTTTGTGGACAGGATTATGCTTTATGAGTAACTCACTTTTGTTTTTCAAATCTTCCTCCACATATTTATATGGTATACCCTTCAGTTTAAGGGCTAGTGCAACCCTGGTGCAGTAAGCGCTAGGCCAGGATCCCAGCAACACAACTTCTCTATTTTTCTCATCCATTGCTCAGGCTTTTTTGTTTATGGTTATTTTCTCTTAGTTTGTGGGTTTTTATGTAGATTTCAGTTACAGGATTTCTGTTATCATTTTAGTATTTTTTGTGTAGTCGGTAAAACATACGCATATAATCAAGAAAAGGGTAATATACAAAATAAGAATTATGGTTCTATTACTTGTTGGATAAGCCTTGGAATGGTTCAGATATTTGACTGCGCTTTCTTGGAAAGGAAGATTGATAGATAATGAAGCAAAATGCCACATGAAAGTGTCAAGTGTTATGATAGCAGTCAATTACCAAAGTTCTAGCATAATATAAGGTTTCTCAATTGTAATTTTTTTTTTTTTCTACCTCTCTTGAAGGTTAAAATTAAATCATTTTGGTGAATCTCAGCCCAGAGCAGAATTGGAATTGTAAGTTAAAATTAAAGATAATATGAAGTGTCATTGGGTCTTAAACTTGAATTGGAAATGGGTTTGGAAGTTAATGGCTCTTGAGAGGGTCAGAAATTTCATTTGGCTTATTTTGCATGGAACCTTCCCTGCTAACAAGCTTTGGCAGCATTATGGCTTTACAAATAATGCATCTTGCACTGGCTGTTCTTCTCCTGAGGAGGGTATCTTACATCCCTCATGAGGTCTGCCTTCGTTGGGGTATGTGTGCACAGCCATATTTCTTTTCAATTGCATCAGGTTCTCATGGTAACCTTATTGCACTTTGTCGTTGTATGATGCTGGTACAATAATCATACCTTCAATTCTTTAGAGATAAGGACTATGGAGTATGAATATTGGTTATTTGTGAATCGATTGTCTCTTGATTTGTTCCCTTTCATAATTGATGGCCAATTCCAGGTTAGTCACATAGTTACGGTGAGAAGTTTCCTGCATTGGTTACTGACTTCTTTTACTTCATGAGGTAAGAATTCCTACCCTTCATTTGTTTATTATTTTTTAGGGGGTAAGTGAGTTTTATGAGACGGATAAATGGTGTTGCTGCTATCATCTATGTTGAACTGTGATTTCCATCATCTAGACAATTATGTTTGGTGGCAGAACTGTGATTTCTTGAAGACTCTTGCATTCATTCAATGAAAGTTTTGTCAAGGAGAGACATGCACTGATGGATGATGGAAGGATAGTGATACTGCTATAATTAAGGGATAAATGTGTCATAGGGTGCAAGCAAGGAAGAAGTGTAGCTAGAAATTAGCATCCCTAACATTTGAAGACATTGTTTCTTGCTCTTGACCATTGCCACTTTGTATTTGTGCAAGCCCCTCACAAAAGTTGGCTTCCAAGCTCTCAACGTTTGGCAACGTAAAAATACTACGTGGTAGTTCAACTAGCCCATTGCATCTATCCAGAGTCAGGATTGTGAGCCCTACAAGATTTCCAATTGAAAAAGGCAAGTTACTTATGGCACTATCACTCAAACCAAGGTACCTAGGTCTTCCATCTTCCCTAAAATTTCTGGAAAACACATGAGACTTGCACAATTCCTAAGGGACATGGTATTAAGAGAAATCAAGTTCCTGCCACGAAGAAGGACCCTAAGACTAGCACAATGATTAAGGTTCAAATCTTCAAGTTTATCAAGAAATCCAATGGAATCATGAACTTCAACTAAATTTTTACAATTATCAAGATGCAGTTTCCTCAAATTTGGTGCTCCAGACATGTCAGTTACTTGTTTCAGTAACTGGCAACCACTTAGCTTCATTTCTGTCAGACTTGAATTTCTGCAAAATGCAAAAATAACAGTAACTACTTTATAAATTTTCAAATGGAGCTTATCAATATATTCATGACCAAATAAATATCTGATAGTTAGTAACTATAATACCATGCTCAGTTGATTCTTGAATGTAAAGCAACTCATAGACAAGTCCAATAAGGACAGTTTCTTTGGATCAAAATGAAGAGGCAGCGATGATTCAGATCCACACCATTTTAGCACTCTCAAACTTTTTGGTAGAGCACTAGGTCCTCTAGAAAAGCGAGCATTTTTCACCAGTATTTTAAGGTTTTCCATCTTCTTCAATGCATTTCCATCCCATTGCACTTCTTTTTCTTTGAGCAAGTGTAGCATGACGATTTCAGTTTTATAAGTTCCCTTTAAGCCCAAAGAACTAATTAAGATAAATTTTGCAACTTATAAAGCATATTATCTTAAATGAAATGTAGAGGGCTAACAATCAGGTATTCCCGTATGCATTTGTCTAAAATGGAAAAATCAAGGATCAAGGAGACAAGAAAGCCGTGCACATACCCTGTTCTCTTTGAAAACATGAAGATATCCTTAGAGCTCCATAATCTGCTGCGTTTACCGGGTCTTTGAGGGTGATTCTTGCCGCACAATTTCTCTACCCATATTCTCGATCAGATTATGCATTCTCACATGACATTGAACAATTTTTATCAAACATTTCTCAATCAACACTTGGATAACATAGTCCGAGGCAAAGCCACGACCACTATGTAGAATGTTTATGACATCACTTAGTTCATATCCTTTAAAGAAGCAAGCAATGTCTAAAAAAATTTCCTTCTCAAATTCCTTTAAGCCATCATAGCTCACTCTTAAGATTTCCTGAATATTTTCATGAGGAATTTTTTCATAAGCATCGAATGCTGACTTCCATTCCAACAATGTCCAGATAACTAGGATTAACTTGTTTTCTTCTGAAAGCATTCCAGATGACCAATTCAAGGGCTTCTTCATGATTTAATCCTTCTACTTTATAGATTCTCTCAACATCATAAACATGTAGCAAATGTATATCTCTAGTTGATATAATAATTCTGCTGACAGAACCAAACCAATCAAGTCCACCAGCAAGTACTTTCAATTGTTCCAATTTGTCAATATCATTCAAAATGAAAAGAATTTTCTTTTTACACAGCCTACTTTTAATTATTGGAATTCCTTTATTTACATTCCCTAACGTAATGTCCTTCTCCCCAACTACAGCAAAAAGAAGTGTCTCCTGAAGTTGTACCAGCCCATGCTTCGCAGAATTTTCCCTAATATCAGCAAGAAAAGAGAGACCTTCAAATTGATCAGCAATGAAATTGTACACTGCAAAAGCAAGTGTTGTTTTTCCAATTCCACATATTCCACAAATCCCTATACGATGTAGACTCCATTTGATTCAACATCAAGAAGTGACTTTACTTTCTGCATACGAGACTCTAACCCAACAGGATAACTAGCAACATATAAAGGGTTGCGATTGATCCTCTTAGAGACCTCTTGAGTGATCTTTCTAATGAATTCATATTCATACCTACCCAAGTGCAAAAATTTGAATGATGTCACTCACTGAAATTGTAATATTCTACAAAAAGAATTAAGTATATAATAGAAAATGAATGGTGATTTACATACCAGTGTTTGAAATGCCAACCAGATAGACTAGCTTATTCATGCAAAGCTAACCTCCACATCTTCAACTTGTCCTTGTCAACGATTTTCGCTTCATGCTCAACAAGTGCTTCAGCATAAGTCCCTTTCTGATGGCGAACATCAGATGGTTCAACTTGATAAAAAAACAGGCTAAACCAACCTGCCCTTGTGTTTTAAGCACTCCATGATCTTCACAAGTTCTTCTAAACAAAAACTAGAAAATGCATAGTTTTCTGATATCCCAACTCCAATTCTAGATTCCTGGATTGCCTTCATTAGAGCTGGTGTGATTTCTTCTCCTTTACCAAGTTCTTGATCATCCATGAAGGTCTTGATTCCTTTTTCACACAAAGCATTGTAAAGATTACCAGTAAAACCAGCGCGAGTATCCTCACCTCGAAAACTAAGGAAAACATCATGAGTCCATTCATAGGAAAAGGAAGAGGAGGACAAGGATGTTGGCTTTGTCATTGTAGCCATAGCAATGATTCTTGAGAAAGAGAGTTTTAGCAGTTCAAATGATTATTGATAATACGTGCAGGAATCTGCTTGAGCAAGCAACAATTGAGCCAGAAAAGAATAAAGTCAGCACAATTGTAATGCCTGAAGGTCATTTCCTTGTAGATACCAGGGAGTTGAAAAATTAGACATGTTCACAAGTTTTCTACTTATAATACTATTACAAGATCACATTTTTTAAGATGAGAAACCAAGTTGTAACGATTTTCTAAAGAATTGTGGGATGCATCAGAATTAGACACGAAGAAAACTCAAAAAGAAGAAAAAAAAAGACCATTTGCCTAGTATTTTTAAACAGGCAATGTATACATAAAGTATGATACTTAATCACGCACGCTATGTCATGAGATTAATCAACACAAGGGAAAGGATTCATTAGCCTCTGAAGTAAAAAGAACAAATTAATTGACAAAATATAGAAAAAATGTTGAGGAAAAGATGACAGAAAAGAGGAGCGAAGGGATATAATTTGGTAGGACTAGGCAAAAGGTGAAGCCTCGGAAATATTTTAACTTAAGAAAAAAAAAATTGTTTCACGATAAAAAATATTAAAAATAAAAATGGGATAAAAAATTTTAATCACTGAGAAATGCTTTTAGTACGAATACGAGTTGGTATTGCTTGTTTTGTTTGAAAATAAGTGATCTACGGCTTAATTGTTTTTAATCGTTATTAGTTGGTCTGTTTCTAAAGGTGTTTTAATTAATGTTAAATGTTTACAGGAAAAAAATCATCACATTAGATAACACGTTAAGATGGACGAGATTAAATTTTTTTAATCAATTTAGTACTTTAAAATGATAGTTCAAGTCCGGTCTTTACGGAATATTAACAATAAAAAAATATATTAATAATATTTTTTAGAAACATTAAAATTTAAAATATCAAATATTTATCCAACAAATTTAAAACAAAATATCGTTAAATTACTTAATTCAAAAAATTTAAAATAAATAATTCCAGTAGTATCAAATATTTAAAATAAATATTTTAACCAATTTCTCAATTATTGAAACTTTTTTAAAAAAGTTTTGTATCTTTAATTGCAACAGCTTTACTCTCATCATTATCATAATTTAGAATCAAGTACTGGTTATGTTAATTTAAAATAAATATTATACATTCATTAACTTCTGAAAGTAAAACATACAATAAAAGGCACTATGAGCTTCAAAAGTTTCATCCTCTCTTATCTTTAAAAATTATTTAAAAGAAGGATTGCCATGCCTTTGAAGAAAGCATGGTAGCTAGAGCTAATTAAATGTAACCAAATCTTGTCACATCTATACACAAAAGAAAAAAAAACTATAATGATTTTGCAAATTAAGTCAAAATATCACCGTTTTGAAAGTTTTCCAAGCCACAGTGCAATTGCAATTTTGTTCACAACCTTTCGCAACTTGAAACATTGATCCGTGTGTGTAAATCGAATATTTGGCATGCTTGTTTTTTGTTCCTGTACATGAACTCCCATCCATTTCATTTTTGTTTTACCTCCACCATCCACCAATGAAATCTCAGCATGATTCCATCCATTCTCAGTGTGTAGCTTTTCAAATTTACCACTGCCAAATTCAAGCCACAGATCAAACACAATTAAATGATTTGTCTGAAATAAACTTGTGGACCTAACTTGAACAATATTTGGGAACCGTTGACTACTGTTAATGATCAGGTCAAACTCATAATGAAGAAAACTACCCAAAGCTCCATTGATGCAAAGAGTAATTGCTGGGAATTTGTTACGAAACCAGAAAGACAAGGATTCTTTTCTGCTGCAATGATTGAACAATCTTTGAATTGTAGATCCTGGAAAACAAAAATATCTGACCCTTCTCCTGTCTAGTGCCTGTCAAACACATAATTATAAACTATGAATTAAAAAAATTGATTATGGGTTTTCTAACAACTCTTCTAAAAATCCAAAAGTATAACAACTTTTAATGCTTCTTATTTTTCTATCTTTATTTTCGGAAAGAGGCGAAAAAAAAAATGAAGAATTTGACTCCTCTTTCTTCTCCCGTTACTCTTTATAAACTATAACTATATTATATTCATACTATATTTTTCACAAAACAATTCTCTAAACTACTTTTATGGAATAAATTTTAAAAAATAAAAAATTAAGAACAAAATCAAGCAGAATCATGGAGACAATACTTTTAGGGCAAAATTAAAGTGTATTTACTTAAGTTTTTTTGTACTGGTATTTATTAAAATTAAAATTTTATTTTGATAAAAATTTTATACTTAATGTTATTACAAGTGATATTAAGATGAAATTCTAATTATAATTAAAAACTAACATTAAAAACACTTAAAGAATTGCTTTTAAATGTTATCTTATTTCTTTGCTTTGTTATTAGGTAAAAAACTATGGGAATCTTTAAAATATATGTATATGATACCTGAGCCAATAGCATTTCCTTGGACTGGGAAGTCAATGATGTGCAATTCACTGCTGAAAGATATTTTATATTTGGCGGCAAGGCTTTAATTTCTCGAAGCTGCTTGCATTCATCCAAATATAGTTTTGTCAAAGAGCGACAAGAATTGATGCAAGATGGAAGGACTGTGATATTGCTATTATTAAGGAACAAAAATGTGACAAGTGGTAAGCAAGGAAGAAGGGTAGCAAGAAATTCATCTGTCTCATAGCATATGCGATCTCTTCCAACTGAACAAAGAATGACATTCCTCGCATTTGAAGACATTGTTCCTTGATCTTGACCTTGGCCGTTCTTTATTTTTGCAAGCATAGTACAAGAGTTAGCTAGAAAAGTCTTCAACTTTGGCAACGTAAATATACTACTTGGTAGTTCAATTAGCCCTTTGCAGTCATCCACAGACAAAAATGTAAGCCCAACAAGATTTCCAATTGAAAAGGGCAATTTTCTTATAGTGCTACCACTCAAACAAAGGTAGTTGATTTTTACCATCTTTCCCAAAATTTCTGGAAAATTCTTGAGACTTACACAATACCCAAGAGACAAGGTTTTAAGAGAAGTTAAGTAGATGCCACGTGGAAGATTCTTGAGACTGCAACAATGAGTAAGATTCAAATCTACAAGTTTGTCAAGGAATCCAACAGAATCATGGACTACAACTAAATTCTTGCAAAAATCAAGATGCAATTTCTTCAAATTTGGTGCACCAGACATGTCGGGTACTTGTTTTAGTAGTAGGCAACCACTTAACTTCATTTCAGTCAAAGACTTAAATTTCTGCAAAGTGCAAACAATAACTATGAGTAATTATTTTATGATTCTTTCTAGTGGAGCATAAAAATATATATATTGACATAGTTAGCAACTATGGCACTAGTACATACCATGATTGCATGATTGTTCAACTTAATGGAACTCATGGGCAAGTCAAGTATGACAAGTTTCTTTGGATCAAAATTAGACGGTAGAGATGGTTCAGGATATTCTCGCCATTTTAGCACTCTTAAACTTTTTGGGAGATGATTAGGTCCTTTGCAGAAGCGGGCATTTTCTATGAGAAGTATTTTGAGATTTTCCATCTTCTTTAATGCATTGCCATCCCATCTCACTTTTTTATCTTTGAGCATGTGCAACATGATGATCTCAGTTTTATCAGATCCCTTTAAGAAAATAATAATAATAAATTAATAATATAAGTTCCTAACTATACAGCAATAATTTATCTAATCACCAATAAAATTTGTGAACAAAAAGTTGAAATGCAGAGGGTATAAGAATCATGTCTTCCACTATGTATATCTAAAAACAAAATGTCAAGGGCCAACAAACAAACTATATATACCAATACCTTGTTCTCTTTGAAAATATGAACAATATCTTTAGAGAACCATAATCTACTACGTTCACATGGCTTTGATGGTGATTCTAGCCGTACAAGTTCTCTACCCATATCCTCAATCAAGTCATGCATTCTCACACGATGTTGATCAATTTTTATGAGACATTTATCAATCAACACTTGGATTCCATACTCGGGGGCAAAGCCACGACCACCGCGTATTATGTTTATGACATCATTTAGGTAGTACCCTTTAAAGAAGCAAGCCATGTCTAAAAAAGTTTCCTTCTCAAATTCCTTTAAGCCATCGTAACTTACTCTTAGGATTTCAAAAATATTTTTATGAGGAATTTTTTCATAAGAATCTAGTGCAGACTTCCATTCCAACTTTGTTTTGCCGTATAAGTCAGAACCTATTATTTCCAAAGACAATGGAAGGCCATTAGAATAAAGTATTACTTTCTTTAAAATGTCCAAATAACTAGACTTAACTTGATTTCTTTTAAAAGCATTCCAACTAAACAATTCAAGGGCTTCTTCATGATTCAATCCTTCAACTTCATAGGTTCTTTTAACACCATAAACATGTAGCAAATGCTTGTCCCTTGTTGTGATAATAATTTTGCTTCCAGAACCAAACCAATCAAGTCCACCAGCAAGTGCTTTTAATTGCTCCAATTTGTCAACATCATCCAAAATCAAAAGAATTTTCCTTTTAACGAGCCTCCTTTTGACTATTGGAATTCCTTTATTTACGTTCCCCAACTTAATGTCTTCTTCTCCAACTAAATCAGAAAGAAGTGTTTCTTGGAGTTGTACCAACCCATACTTAATTGAATCTTTTCTAATATCAGCAAGAAAACAAAGACTTTCAAATTGATCAGCAATTAAATTATATACTGCACATGCAAGTGTTGTTTTACCAATACCACCAATTCCATAAATCCCTATCACATGAACCCCGTCATTTGATTCAACATCTAGGAGTGAGTTTACTTTTTGCACTCGAGACTCTAACCCTACTGGATAATTAGCAACATATAAAGGGATGCGATTGATCTTTTTAGACACCCCTTCAATGATCTTCCCAATAAATTCATATTCATACCTGCTCCAAAGCAAATTTAGGTTTAAATCAAATCAATTGAATCAAATAATGTCAAATTTCACTCAAGAAGTCTAAAATATATCAATTACTAAATGTTGTATTTATTAATTTAACTATATATGATAAAGAAAAAATAAGTATATTTAGTGATCTAATTTTAATTAATTTTTTGCATTGGGGTTCAATTTAATTTCTAACGTTGTGTTGTGTAACAATTTCATGCTTTCTGCCTATTTTATTTATCGCATATTGACAGAAAAAATAAAGTTAATAGATGAAACAAAGATAGAGTACGCAATTAAAATAATAATAGTAAAAAGATAGAAGACCATAAAAGAAAATAATAAAAGAATAATTGTGTGATCAAATAAACATATGCAAATAATTAAGATATTTGTAAGACGTTTAATACTCGGCCAATCTAGGTTTAAATATCTAATATGTAGATAAAATTAATGAAGGAAAAATTATGAGTTATATAAAATATAAATAATGATCGATATTTCAGAAAAACTATCAAAGACTAATTAGAAAATAAGTTTATGGTTTAAAAAGAAGTATAAATATTTCTAATAAAAGGGAATAACATTAGTAAAGAGAATATGAAGTTCAGAGGTAAAAAGATGTAAAATTAATACATAAAATTGGTCTCATGTTTTTGTCTATTATAATGTAAATTAAATTGTTTACTTGCTTAAATATGTAAAGAAATATGGACGATGAATGCAAATTTAATAGGGAATATGCAAATGTTTTTGTATATCAAAATGAAAGCAATTAATGTTTTACTTTAACTCCGCTTTTTGGTTATTTTATTCGATATATATACATTTTTTTATTATATTCAATTTTGCGCTCTATTAACTTTGTTGTTTGAATTTACTCTTTTAACTTTGCACCGTTAAATAAGCTTATCCTTTCATCTATAAAAACAAAAAGGATAAACTTTGTCAAACATTAAAAAGTCAAAGAGTCAAAGAAATACAACAAAGTAAAAAAAAACCAAAATAAAAATAAAATAAAATAAGGTTTCAAGATTAATAAACCAATTTTATCAAAATTAAAGAAAAGATACAAATTGATCTAACCATCACTTCAAAAATTAACAAAAATGTAATAATATACTCATTTCATAATTTTTAACTCGCTCTCTCCGCTAAAATATTCATGTAAAAGTTATTATTTAATTTTATATTTTATCTTACTCATTAACTCTTGATTAACGTGAGCAAACTAAGGTAATATTGAAAGTGGTGAATTACTAACCCATGTTGGAAATGCCAACCGGAGAGATTAGCTGCTTTATGCAAAGCAAACCTCCATCTTTTCACCTTATCCTTATCATTCACTTTTATTTCATGCTTTGCCAATGCTTCACCATAACTCCCTTTTTGGTGGCGCACATGAGATGGATCCACTTGATAAAAAACTGGCCATACCAATCTACCCTTACGTTTTAAGCACTCCATAATTTTCGCAAGTTCTTCTAAACAAAAAGTAGAAGATGCATAATTTTTTGAAAATACCACAATTGCAATCCTAGATTTTTGGATTGCCTTCATTAAAGCTGCTGTGATCTCTTCACCTTTCTTAAGCTCATGATCATCTAAGAAGGTGTTAATTCCTTTTGCACACAAAGCATTATAAAGGCTTCCAGTGAATCCCATTCGAGTATCCTCACCTCGAAAACTAATGAAAACATCATAAACCCATTGATGAGTAAAGGAAGAGGAGGAGGAGGATGTTGTCTTTATCATGGTAGCCATACAGAAGATAAAGATTGTTGAGTAGTGTAGTAGTACTATCAGTGAGCGATAGGAAGAAACCTCATAATGAAGATTAATATAATGAGTACGAGTGAAGAGAAATGGGGGTAAATGTGAGATTTTCTTTTAATTTTCAACAGTCAAGTAGATAAAGACAGAAAAAGATTGAAAGAGACAGAAATAAGAAATTTTTCAATCATCAAAAACGACTGATAAATTGTTATATAGGAAGGTTTCTTCTATCACGTACAACATAATAAAAATTTATATTTAATAATTTTATACTAAAAATTAAAATTTAATATATTAATACTACCAAATGTTATAAATATTAATAAAAATAAAAAAATAATCTTATAATGCAAGTCTAAAAACTCTTAGATCTAATTTAAATATTTTATTTAATTTAAATTTAACGACTAGTAAAATAATAAATTATAATTTATTAAATTTAAGTTAAATAAAATAATTAAATTAAGTATAAAAATTTTTAAAATTATACCAGTATAAGAAGATCATGTCCTATAAAGATATATTATTTAAAAAATTTTATTACGTATAATAATGTAAAAAAAAAACTTTATTATTTTGTTTTATGATATTAAAAAAAAAGTTTCTTACTGCTTCTGATCTGGAGTCGAAAATTGTTTCATTCTACTGCACACATATCATTAGTAACTTAAGGTGAAATATAATAATTAATTTAATTTTAACTTATATGTTAATTTTCATAAGTGAAATACGAATAGTATAAAGTTTATTAACTAAACTGATCCTATATATGATTGATTGAAAGATGTTCCTTGTAAAAGAGGTTTTTGTTAATGTTGGCTCTTTTTCCTCATGACATGAATTGTGAGTTAAGTAAGAAAATAACAATTCAGATTATAAAAGAGAAGATAATGTAATTTAATACTTTCAGAAGATAAATATGTAATTTACTATGAATTGTGTAACTGTTACATACAGTTGACAGTGCAAGATATTTAGTCTTGTCAAGATTTATCAAGTCATAGATTCCAAAAATATCAATTTCTTACATAACTTTTGTTAGTTGTAAAGGGCAGTAGTCAAATAATAACTTGCGGGGAACAAAAAGTTTAGTATCTATAATTTTCACCATGAGATATTAAATTAGAGAGGTCAAATTTTCATAATTAAAGATTATATTTTAAAAGTTAAATTTTAATTAAAAAATTAAATAATCAATACATAAGTTCACGTAATATAATTAAAATATCATTTTAATTTTATTTTTTTTTAAGAGTACTCCTTATATAAGAATTAAGACTCTCAATTTATGTGCAGTAAGCCTGCTTTGTGTACCGTGGATTAATTTATAAGCCTCTTGTCTGAGGTTGGCCCTTACGACCAATGATGTTGATTTTTGGTTTTGCCTTGCAATTTATTTGGGCTTGCAATTTGTTTTCTTTGTCTTTGGGCTTGTAATTTGTTTTCTTTCTCTTCATCTACTTTTTATTTATTTATTCTGCATAATTCTTCTTTTCCTACACACAATGCCTCCTGAATTGAGGATCTTGGAGGATTGATACTATCCTTTTTCTTTTTTTGGCTATTTTCATTTTTTTATCATTTTTAGAATTTAATTTTCAGAACCTATAAAATTATTTTTGAAAATTAAATTCTAAAATAAATTTATAATTTATTTTTGGAATTTATTTTCTGAAAATAAGTTTAACTAGAAATCAAATTTAAAAATTTATTTATAAATCACTTTTGCAATTTGATTTTCAAAAATGATTTCATACATTTTAAAAAATTGAAGTGATTAATAAATAGCTTCCAGAATTTAATTTCTATAATATATTAAATACAGTTTCAAAATTTAAATTTCAACAAACTTTTAAACAAATGGTGTAACTAATAAAAATGAGTAATGAAAAAAAAGTTTCCAAAATTTGGTGGATCCTCATGTGACACTGAATCTCCACCTTCAATGCTTTTACAAGAGGAAAATAATTCAATTAATTCATGTTAACATATACTTTTCTCTAAACAATTTTTGAACGTAAAGAAAGTTTTTTTTTTTCCTGTTTTTAGTCCTCTATGAAAAATATACGAGATTTTTTCTGCTTTTGTAATTTAAAATATAATTTTTTTATTTTACCTTAATTTTATTTACTAAAGGCCTGTTTTCTGTTTTCTTTTTTCCTGTACTCTAACAATTCGACTGTCCATGTAACTGCTATGAATTTTTTATGTACAAAAAAGAACCAGACATTAGACACATATATAAGCAAGTCATGAAAATTACTATTACTATGTACGATTAGTCACAAAAATGTACTAACTCAGTATAGTTGGGCTAGTGATGAAGAGTTTTAGTAGATTCAATAGTACGATGTGCCAGTTTTGAAAGATTCTTAATCATAAGTCAATAAATATTTACATCATGTTCACTAAGCATCTTAGAGTATAGTAAGTAATTAGATATTCGCACGTTGATAGTGCACATAATACTTAATTAAAGTGGCACATTAGGGTCATCATGTGTACATGTCAGGAATTTGAGATCTGCTTGTCTCTGCTTGGTAATTGGTATTTGGCCTTATTTACTTAAACTCTTTTCATTCTTGTTTTAAAACTCCCGTATTGCCGTCAAATTTCTATTCCAAAGACACATTTTCTATGAAACTATTCCATAGACATTTGAGTTCACATATTGCCTCAAGTTACAAAAAGTTACACAGTAGTAATAAAAAAAATACTTCATGCTAATGTAAATTGAACATAAATCTAAGCTAAAAAGTCAGACTGAGGAGTACCTATCACTAGAAGCTAGAAAATAAACCTAATTTGTATAAAATATAATAAAATAAAATAAAATGGACTAAGTATAGCACTTGGTTGTGGAATAACTAGAGGGCACATCACAAGGACAAGATGAAGTATCCCAAAGCATATTTGACTTCCATGCATCACCAACATTGAAAGGCATACTACTGAATGGAAACCCAATGGATCGTACTGTTTCCAACTCTTGGTCATCAACAAGAGGCACATTCACATTAGGAACCTTTACCATTGCATTATTATCATATTGGTTGCCAACTGTGGCTTGCATATCACGTAGAAATGGTATTGAATAGCCACTATAGTGCTCTTGCAACCCACCAAAGATTGTGGTTGTTCCCTCTGAACTCTTGTTAAAATCTCCAAGCATAGAGGATGACATATTCAACAACATGGCAGAAACATCCATTGTAGATTTGGCATTATTTGTATTAGATGTTTCAAGTGGAGATGAGAATAACAAGCTAGTGCTAAGGTCTCCATTTGAAATTGGTGGTAAGTGATCAAAGGCTTTTGTGTAAAGCAAAGGGTTAATAATGGATTTATATGAGGCAACATCTAAAGGACAAAGAGTACTACAACTACTACTATTAGTGGTTAAGTGTTGAGTATCGTTGTTGTTAGTAAAGAACTGGCTGGCTAGGCTAGTTTTCTTTGTCAAAGGCATGTTGGTTGAACAAAACTGGGTGCTGTCTTGAATTTTGGTTAGCATATCAGAGGTTCTTGTTTCAGGTATGGATGAGACCCAAGAGTGAGACAAAGCTCTTTGAGCTGTAGAACTGGTTTTCTTGAATATCCTGCAGATAGCCCAAGATTCCTGCAGTTTCAAAAACAAGTTAAAATTGATATTCACAACCATAAGCACTTGAAAAGTGCTACCTAAATTTGGTAAGAAACAAAAGTTTGTATAAGTTTTGTTACTTACATTAGCAGGAATGGTCTTGTCAATGTACTTCTTTGGGGAAAGTGAGTCTGTGACAGAAGGTAGCCTGAACTCGTGCATCATCCAATCAGTTTTGACTCCTTTGGCAGCTCTGCCTTTGTAAAATACAAGGGATTTCTTCAGCCCAATACACTTGGAACCTTCTGAGGAATAGATAGGCCTATCAGTTCCTGTAGCTTTCCAAAAGCCAGCTCCAGTTACCCTATTAGGCCTTGCACTGTTTCTGTATTTTCTGTCCCTGGGACAGTAGAAATACCACTCTTTTTCTCCTGTAGTGGCCAACTCTACACACATTAGAATCATAAAAATGGTTAGATCACACATACCATTAGATGCCTTAAGCATAAGAAAAAGGTTCTTAAATATATACATATAGCTGACTAAGTTGATCAATATATATAAGAGGTTATATATACATGAACCAAGACTTACTTGGAAGATCCCAAGGGTCATATTTATAGATATCAAGCTGTTTGATGAGCTCAATAGTCAAAGGGCGTTGCTGAATCTTCCTCTTCAGGTAAAACCCAACAAGCTCCTCATCAGTTGGATGAAACCTGAACCCTGGTAGCATAACTTCATCAAGTTTCTCAGCATCATTTCTCTCTTCCATATCTCAACCTATTTTTTTCTTCTAAAAGTATATGACCCTTTTCAAAATGGGAAAGGAGAAAGATCCTTTGTTGTGTCTCCTCTGGAAAGAAACAAAAACACACAACTAGAAAGTGGAAGCTGCTTTCAAATATATGGTCTAAGAAGTTTTGAAGAACAACGACAACCCTAAAAAAAAGTAGTGCATGAAGTCCAAATGATGAGAAGTGTTGAAAGACAAAGAAGAGGAAAGTGAGAACGAAGTGTACTTAATTTGAAGGCATTATATGCTTCCTGAAAGGGGTCTGCCTCCGAAGGTTCAGCCGTCATTTCTGGTGACTTTCAAAAGAGTTTGTGTTTTGCGAGGATAGCTTAGGTTTGGTTCATGAAAACAAGCAAATTAAGGGCAAAGCTCTTAAAAGAGAACGATTACCGAGAAAGAAATTAAAGCCATGAACCATTTAAGTCAATACATTACATAATACTCCTTAAAAAACTAAATTGTACTATTATTTTTACGTTTTCTTAAACATGCTCTAAAATTTAAGTTAGAGTTAAAATAGTATAGATATAGTGAAAATAATGATTAATTGACTTCAAATAATAATTATTTCAAATATCATTAGAAATAAGAGAGGTTAGTAATGTAAGAAGAGATTACTTTTGATAATATAATGAAATAAATTAGAAAATGTGAAGCTTACATAAAGATAAAATGTACTTTGCCCTTTCTTACTTGTATCTTAAAGGTTTTTTTTTCCTGAGATTATGACCTTAATGTGTAAACTGCCAAATTTGAAGCTTCCGGGGATCACAATCTTATATAGTTAATTACCCTTTAAACACACATTAATGTCATGAAAGTTTTGGTGGATCCGCTACAAGCCAAGACATTAGATCAAAGTTCCAAGTAATTAATGATATTTATATAATATAGTGTTTGAAACTTTGAAATATCATTTGGAAACGTGGACCTGAACCAGATTCCGAAAAAATTTATAATTCAACAGCAAATTCCAGTCAGACCCACTAAGGATTATATTATTGAAGGTTTCTCAGAATCCGAAAATCCTGTTTCTATTCCATTCCCAGAGCTTCTATTCCACTGATTTTGCCAGGTTGAATCAGTTAAATAATAATAATTATTATTATTGACAAATATCAAATAACAACAAGCGAGCGTGTGATCAAAGTCTAATGTGGTTGAGGGGACCGCTTTGCTCTTATAGGAACATTATATTAAATTATTAATCTTAACTAAAACCATTTGTTTATGACTACCAACGTATCTAACATCAGAGTTAGCTATAAACCTTAACTGCAACATGTGCTTCACCGATATTTGACCTTGTTTCTTTGATATTTCTTCACAGGATGGAATTAATATTTAAATTACTTTGTTTTAGGGAAAAAAAAATTAAAACAAAGTAATTTGGTAGTTGTTTTAAGTGAACTTTTTTTAAAAATATGAGTAAACAATTATGTGTGTGTACTTAGTTTTCACATTTAATCATCTATATAGTATCAATAGGAGTCTTCCAAATTCACCACACTGTTACATGATATTTTAAAATATTTATAAAGTTGCTTGACTGGAACTAGTATTTTATGCATCGCATAATGTTTTGATTTTAATATAATCTGTTTATAAAAAATAGGAAAATATATTAACATACTTTTAATGACTAATTTTAAAAATTCAAAAGTAGTATGATTTTATTTTAAAAAGTAAGTATTTGTTATATTAAAAATATTAGTGTAATAATATTTTTAATAAAAAAATATGAGTTTAATCATGGTGTAGCATGATCAATCGTGAATGAATTCGAGTAGTCATGTTGCGGGGTTGGTGGCCAGGCGATAGAACTTGTGAAAGGCAAATCCTCTATTTTTGTGGACTTTGGGAATACGAAGTATGGGATTTCTCAATTTCTTGCTTTAGTAAAACCAAATAGGTTTCAGCAATAATGGAACTCAAAAAAAGGTCTCAAAAATTCATAAAGACCCCACACTTTTTAATGCTATAAAAATGCCAATAAGTGTATTTTAAGGATATCAATTTGTAAAAATTAAAACTACAAATTTGAAAATAAAATAAGTTGTCAAAGTTCAAAAAGTTGATAAAAATAACTTACATGTATTTCACTCAAAAAGTTATATTTATTTATTAATGCTTTAGAAAAAAACAGTAATTAAAAGACCCATAATAGTGTATCTAGATTTTGTCCAAAGTTGGACACCTTTTAGTTTTGCCAAATACTATGTCTTTGGGGTGGAAGGCAAGTGCCGTACCACTAATTAATGAAAAAATTGATTGAGTCAAATGGCAAACTTGGGACTCCAAATTCAGTGAAGGTCCCCAAAATCTAGCCCTCGGTTGGAACCATTTTTGTCTGTTCCTTGACCTAGGGTTTGCTTCCCAAGCGTGCAACCAAAGTTTAAACCTGAGTCAAACTCTTAAAACCCTAACATCAATGCCTCTTTCTACGTGTAACCCACCGCCAACCCTCTCAATAAGGGGCAAAAGTCCAATTACTAAAGTTTCATTAAAAACAGCAGCAAATTAATGCCAACAAGAAGTTGCCTCATGGCCATGATCACTTGTTGCCTCACTTTAAAATGCTTCAGAAATAGATGCACCTTAGAGCAATTAATTTGTTTGCCTTGTGTTTCATCACGTTCACCATATAACTTCACTCAAATTTTGAATTATTAATGGACTATCACATTTAAAACCAAAGAATACAGAAACGCTTTATTTGGCAACAAAGAGAAAATGACAAGAAAGAAAATAGAGGAAACAAAAAGGACTACAGAAAGAAAAGGCATTCTGTATAGCATTGTTCAATTAAATAAAAAGAACATAATAATATCTTAAGTCATATATCCCCTTTACATAAACGGATATTCATTCTCTAAAATCATTGAAAGAAGAATATATTATTATATAACAAATTAATTTTGCGTGTATTTGATTTTATGTTCAATTTCTCACGTTGATGTAAAATCTACCTTTTATAGCATTCAAGTGAGCATATATGTTTCCTATACATCTAACGCAATATGAATTTTCAACTTCGATAGAATTGATTATTCAAAGATTTGATCATATTTTCACCCCCAATCAAAATTAAGTTGTTCATATAAATGAAGTATGCCTTTCACTTTAGAGGGAAAAAGGTTTAACATAGAACTTAAAATATTCTCTTTTCTCTCCGCTTCCAAATGGAAGATTTCTTTCAATTTTTTATCAATACATTTTTTACCATTTTAAACAGAATGAAAGAGATAGGTAATGAGGCCAATGCTTTTAAAAACACTCAAATTTCATCCATAAAATTCAAACATTGTATAAAAATCTTTAAAATAAATAATTTGTTAATTTTTTTTTAACTTTATGTGCATCAAAATATTATTCAATCAATAGCTTAGTATCATTTTTGCAACTTACTAACATATAAATATCAGAATAAATTTTATCCTTTTAAATAACAATATATTTTTTCATATACACATTATGAAGAATTGAATCCTAATCGTGATATAACGTAGTTAATTATCTACCTAGTTTGCTGATGTTTGTTAATAACATGAGTTTTATATAAGTGAGAAAAATAACAACTACCATCACAAGAATTAAGAAACTTGTTTCTTTTATTTATTGATTTTTATTGTGTTTCAAGGTACACGTTAGAAAAACGTGTTTATTTATTATATTTACTTAAAAATTAAATTTTTATTATCATCATGTTACACATTCCTAAATTATTACTATCAAATTTATAAAATTTAAGTGTGGCTCATTTAAATAATTAAGTCTAACAAACTTGAGTTAATATGTTTAACAAAATAAACAAATTTAAATTAACATTTAATAAATTGACCTAAAATAATTTATAAATAATTCAACTCATTTATACACGTATTCATGAGAGCAAGGGAGTTCAAGAAATCTATTTACTGTATTTATTATTTATCGACCAAAAATAAATAGTGAAAAAATAAGAACAATTTTGTAAAACAGTATAAAAAATATAAATAATTTAGATGGAACTTTATAAAAAAGACTATGATAAAAAAATTTAAAAGTGTTTATAAAAGAAAATAACGGGAGTATCTACTTTTTTGCATGGGAAATGAAAATATTTTTTTTACTATTATCTAATTCTGTATTAATACTACATTCAATATCTTTTCTTCTTTTTTTTGTTGGAGAAAGTTTACCGGACCATTTTTACTTGACCACATTCAATAAATCTAATGATAATTTAACAATAAAAATTACATAAATGAAGCATCATAAACTAATACAACAATAACTCATTTTGCATTAGTTACATTACTCTTATAATTGCAACCTGCATAAGATTAGTTTAATTAAAAAAATTTATATTTATAAGCTTACTTTAAGCATCTCTTTGCTTAAAAGAAATTAGTCGTTAATTGTAAGACGAGAGATATTTACTAACAATAACAATAAATTAGATGAGATAAGCTACATAAATTACATGACACGCTCGAATGAAAACTAAATTTTCGAAGATCTTAAAAAAAAGAACATTTATAAAAAGTTGGCTGTGTCAGCAGATTTTTCAACCTTCACATGATCCAAATTTTAAGGTGGACTTGGGTTGGATCTGCATAACGAAACCACTATACAAGTCTACCAACCAGCCACTACTTGCATTTGCATAATCAAAGAAAAAGGGTAGTTTTATCACTCTCATAATAAAACACAATCATGTTTTTAGGAGAAATAAAATAATCCAAATATTTTAACAAGTAAAAACATTATTAGAGAAAAAGAATAATATTTTCATATAATCATAAAGCATATTACTATTTATTAATATCACTTGCAAGTCTGGTTTGATTCTTGCTTAAAACAGTCTCAGAATTAATCACGCACAAGGTTCAACACGTTTCGCAGTTGATTTGTAAAATCGAGGAATAAACATGAAGCAGCTAACTTTAAGGACACGACCAGTCAGTCAATTCGATTTAATCATAACATTTAAGTACAAATCTTAGATGCAAATTCTCAAATACTTCGGGTATTATTGTTCAGTCAAAATTAAAGTTTCACCTCAATAAAAAAAATTGCATATAAGGTTATCACAAGTTACTAATATAACAATAACTTTAATTAGAAAATAACACCAAAAATACCTAAAAACTATAGATGAGTATTGTCCAACCTTGAATAGGAAGAACACTTGGAAACGTGTTGCACCCAAGTTAACAAAGTGATTTTACACATTATCTAAAAATAAGGCAGTGTGTCTTATAGCATAGCATGTTTAATTCAACTTAGTGCATGTTTGAATTGACTGTGTGGCTATGATTCACATTTATAAGGTACTGTAGTTTTTAAATCCAATTTTACAACTTTTTCAATGTCTTTTCAAATTTTAAATATAGAGAAATGCTTCTAAATAAACTGAACTAAACATGCACGTTTTTTCATGGTATAAAGAAACTTGTACTAGATCAAATTCTGCTTAAAACATCATAAAGTTCATCGCATATTTTATTTTCCATGATCAAATATCAATTTAACATCCTCACTATATTTTACAAAAGGAAAAGTGAGCAAAGTTGGGCAAAGATATGAATCTTTACATGCTCCAGATCTGTGCAAAGGAGTGAATATGTTCCCATCAGGTTGTCTGCAACAACTCTTTGATATCATAACCTTGAAGCTATTTACAAACAAACAGGAGAAGTAGCATTGTTACCACAGATCCAAAAAGATTTGTCAACAAGTTCACCAGTAAAAACCACAGTATGCTAGAACAACCCATAGAGAGTGATGTATGTATTATACCTGAAGAAAAGTAAGAAGTAATATAATTCCTGAGTTCCAGAAAGCATGAATAGTGATGGGAGTAAGAAGGTTGTGAGTTTGAGCATATGAAATCCCCAAAACAGTCCCTGCGAATGTCACAAATTTCTGTTAGTTCTTTAGAGCACATGGAGGAACAATAGTTACTTTCAAAAGGAAACTACTTTTGCTTTTCATTTTTGTTCTTACATAAATGTAAATCCAGAAAATCTGAAATAACATTTGTGAATTCTTCATACACCCAACAAATGTTCATGAAAATCTTTTATAGCTAGTTTTGAAGATTGTGTTAAATATCTTGTATTTACACGGTACCTAAAACAAACAGTTGCGGAAATTCTCCTGGAGCAAGGTGAGCGAGAGCAAATACAGCAGCACTAATGATGACAGCTACTGGTGTGGGAACCCTGCAGTGAGATTATGAAAGCATGAGAGAACGTATACCAATAACAACCAACAGTTCATAAAACATGATAAAATAACTGAAATCGAGCAAGCAACTTGGACTAGCTAAATCTTAACTTCTACACATAAATATATATACTAACACATTTTTATATTAAAAAGAATGAGAGCAGGTGAAGCCCTAAAAAAATTGAACTACAAGAGCTTTAAGCCCAAACAAATGCACCACTAGTTTATACCTGACTGAGTTTATCATAATACTATTCTTACAACTGTTCAAATTCGATGAGCTTTGAAATCATTATAAACTAAAACATCAATAAGTTTCCCGCAATTGGAGATCCAAATGTATGATATCAAACTTACTACATTTAAGATAAAATTCACTTTTATGGTATTTTAGAGGTTGAGTCATTAGTCTCTTCTTCTCGTCTATATTTCTTTTTCCCCTTAACAATTCATCTCATTCTCTGCTGACCTATATCCAAACTCCCTACATACTTGAACTACAAGCTCTACATACTTAAACCAGTCTCCCCTTAGAAATTATTTTAATAAACTAGCTTTGTGTATAAACAAGCATTGCATTTGTTAGAGTTCTAAGGAGTACAATTTAGAGTTAGACCCAAAAACCCAACTCCCAAACATACACACAGATTTTCTAAAAGTTACACTTCATTATACGCTATTCTAAATCTGTTAAGCATTAAATCCAAAATCTAATGTCTGCAGTCACCAAAGTTGAAGGTTAAGCTATTACCTAAATTATAAGTTTAAAATCTGTCATACTCCATACAACAGAATTAGGAAAGGGTGTTCGATGGAAATAGGGTTGTCAAAAACATAATTTCAAAGGAAAAATAGATATTAACTAGCACCACATAAATGAACCCTTTTTCCTTGGGAAGGAGGGAAGCTTTACTAGGAAGCTTAAACCAACTTCCTATTCTAGCCTGAATTTGAAGTCATAACTAAAGGGTCATCAACCAATTAGTAACTGAAGAGTATATATTGGTTTTCCTGTCTCACTGCCAATAATAAAGTCTATCCATTTATCTTGCACTTCCTCTGATTTATCACATGATCATACTGATTCCAAAAGATTCATAACATATAAACAAGAGTAAAATGTAATAAAAAAATGCACAATTTGTAAGTACTTTAACAGCAAAAGCTGCATTTAGAGGGGAAAAAGAATTGTTCAAATTATCCAGTCATTTAATGTTTTTTTCTTAGAAATAATACCTTGCTTATAAGCTGAGCTGAAATTTCTTCAACCATCATATTTCATAAAATTATACAGGAACCAAAAAATTGACAAGGGAAAAAATCTGATTCAGAAAGCATGGGGAACTAAATGAAAAAGAATCAACCAGGCACTCAATACCACTTGGTCAAGGAAGCCATGAAAAAGCCTTGAAATACAGTTTCCTCAAGAAGCGGAGCAAGAACACCAGTGATGCCCACCAAGCAAGCAGTGCTACAATGAAAATAATAACTTGTACATGAACCTAGGATAACGAACCTAGATTGAAATGCCAGAAGATCTGAGGGCCCAAACAATATAAATAGGGAAATTTTATCTTGTACCTGACATTTGAAGAACCAATTAATGGGAGCAAGGTAACCAGAGTGTCATTCTGAAAAGCATATCATAGAAGCAAATAAGAGATCTCCAGAAGGCAAAAATACACAAAAAATTAACCCCTACTAAGCATTAACGAGTTAGGCAAAAGTAATTCAACCCTGTTAAGACTCAAGGCAGTTCTTCGATAAGTGATCATTTCTCTGAAATAATTGGCTACCAAACATGGGCTACATCTGCATCTGCCCGTGAAAACACTAAATTACTTACCCCTCTTTCTGGGGTTTCTCCACTAAAGAAAGACATGGCAGCTCCTGTCACTGCAATGGCAATTAGGGCACCAGCAAGTCCTACTCCTGCCCACAAAAGCCACCCCTTCTCAAAATTGAAAGGTTCTCTCCAATCTGAAACATTGTTTTACCATGGAATGGATATAAGCAAGTGCTTAACATTCTATTTAGTTAGACTTATGCCAATCACAAAATGAACAGCTGACTAAAAACAGCTCATATAACAAGCTGCGAGAATAATCATGAAGAGAAAGATACAACATTTTCTGCTAGGGCCAAACTGGTTGGCATTAACAGCACCAAACGTTTTAAAATAATAAATTGACTAAAAGAATTCAAATAGCATGGTTTCTAATATACATACATCAGAAACTTTTTGCTTGAATCCAAGATAAATGTGAAAATTTTTTTAAATGATCATCACCATATTTGAAGAAGTCTTCTGGGAGTGGCTGGTACGCATTGGCAATACCATAGAGAACTCCAAGTACAACAGCAGTTGTAAGGCTGTCCAATAATATAATAAAATTAGAATACAGCCTTGAGTAATGTGCAATTTAACACCAGAAAGAAAAAATAGGATAACTATAAGGTACAAGAAGGTAATTTATGCATTTGGATGGATACAGATGGCTTTGTACTTCCAAAATCAGGAAACTAGTTAACAAACAAAGGCCTAAAGTTAAAAGCAAATGTTGCAAAGCAAGCATTCAGATATTCACAAGGAAGGAAGCAAGGAAATATGCAGAGAATAAAGCAGTTAACGATTGCCTATACATGCATATTATTACTCATTATCACGAGCATCAGTGGTTTGGCTATATATTAAATTTCAGCGAGCAGCATTACATCAGATATCCTTAACAATGACCAAACCAAAACTAACTAGAACCAAATATAACTTGGTTGCAATATAACTTGCAGAAGTACCAAGGTGTAAATTCCTAAACGAATATCCTGCATACCTCTGATCCACAAAAAGTATACCTGCCTTCTCATCTAAAGTTAGCTCATCAAATTGAATCCCTAGATATGGCACAGCTGTTGCCTCAACCAAACCTGTCAACACAAAACTGCCTGGAAAAAGATTAATGGATCAAAGTCCAATAAAAACAAACATGCAAAAATGTCAAAAATAACTAAATACAAATTATGCTATAGCCACGCATCATAAGTTTTATTTTTCTGCATGCATGTTCCTATAAGTAGATTGTATTGATGCTCGATATGAAATCCTGATAGCTATTACAAAACACACCCCAATGCACAAGCAAGAGAGGTTAGTGGAACTGTTTGCCATTGCCAAGGCACTTCCCATCGGCGGAGAATAGGCCATTCCAATCCAGATTCCTGAGAAAAGGGAACAACAGAAATGAGTTATATAATCTCTTATTGGTAGCACTTGAAACACAATGAAACGTTATATTCGATTTTGTTCTCGTCAGTTCTACCTTTTTCAGTGGACCCAAAACATACCACTTATCAAACTCCAGTCCCATACACACTCTTAGAATGCACCAAACATAAAACAATAATAACAAGAAATTCTCTGATATACTATTTATCACTGGATCTCTTCTAATAATTTCCTCTTAAGTTCTTATATCTCTGTTTCTATCTCTTTTTATCAGACTAAAAGTCATGTCATCTACTCCCCCTCGTTGGTTTTAGTGGCCTTCTTAGCACATTTCAAACTACTTTAATCGATTTTCTGTCAGCTTCATATTTTGTTTTATTCTAATGCTATCTTCATGTCTGTCTTGGAAACAAAAGTAAGACACTTGGAAAGACACTTGGAAGACCTCTCTTATGAGTCCATTGAGTAGAACAAGACAAGAAAATTCAAGTCATGAGAGACTGCTAGATAATGGATTAGTCTTTTGGATTGGGCTCTTTTCCCGCTTAAAGTCTTATCACTTAGCAACCTCCACTTCATAATTATCACTATACAACTAACCTCCTTTTCGTTTTTTCATTTCCCCTTAAGGGGGCAACAAGAAGAACAAAGGTAGGTGAAAAAGCAGGTACCTTTGCTTGAGAGTTATCTCCAGAGTTGAAGAAGCAAAGTGAACGAAGACCCCTTTCAGAAACAGAAAAAGAGCTTGTATGGGTAGGGAGAAGAAATGCAGGGACCTGTTTGGATAATGTTTTTGACCAACACAGCTTGTGAGAATGGAAGGGGACACGGAGTGGTGATGAAGTAACTATCAACGACATCATAGTATTGAGTTGACTTGAGAATGCTAACACAACACAATCTTCCTTCTTTATCTTCAACAGGTAATGACCGTTTGCTCAGCCCAACATAAACCACACGGATAAGCCATTAACTTGGATCCAGTTCAAGGCCCAACTCATAGTAAAAAATAATTTTAAAAGAATGATTATATTTAAGTTAAAGAAAATTATTTTTCAGTGAATTTAACTTGAATTCAAATACACCTAATCGCATAACTTACAGGTTAATGAGTTGAATATGCAAGTTTTACAAGTTAATCCATTTATTTCCATAAAATATTAATAATTTTATTATATTATTTAATATAAAGAAAAAAGAAAAATTGAATTTTTTAACTTAATGATAATGGAATGCATTTACCTTTCACAACCTTATGTTGTGTCCTTAAGCACGAATTTAAGTGTTATAGCTTAAATTTTTGTACCTTAAGGGAGGCCAGGTAGACCCGCATACTCCACCTCTAATAAGAGATGTGATGCATAATGATTTTAAAAAAATAAATTTAAAAAAGTTAGTATAAATGAACGTAATAAATAGATGTAAGAAAATTTAACTAATTTTAAAATAAAAAATTACATTCGTTTTATTTTATTTGTTAGAAAATTAAGATTTATTATCATCGGGGCTTTCTAGAAAAATTAAAGGCTATATTTCAATTAATAAGAATAAATAAAATAGGGGAGAATAAAGCATAATAGAATGAAATAAAGATGGTATCCACATAGGATGAGGAGTAATTATTCACATTCTTTACTCTCTCTTTTTTTGTTTAGATTTGTATAAAGACTATAAATTTATACTTAAATTAGGGTTTCATGATTTTATTTTATTTTATTGTTATCTTCACCATTATTCCTCTTCTTAAATTACTTGACTCCCCTGTGGTTCTTATATTCTTACTAGAATGGAGGATAAGATAATTGATACGAATGTTGTCAATCGTAAGACTTGTAGACATTACAAGTTTACATCATCGTTATCTACTTATTGCAAACCTATTATAATTGTTAATGCAAATGGTATTTCTTCCTTAATTATAAGAGTGGATATTGTTCTTTAATTTATCAAGCACACTCATTATTTATTTTTAATGTATTGTATATTTTACTACTAATCTGCAATTATTATTTTCTTAGAATTGCTCAAGTTTTATATTTTTATTCTCTTTTTAATTCATTATTATGTTTTGTAAAATATGTATAAAACAAAATTATTAGATTAAAATATGTTTGATACTTCTCTAATTTTACTTTTTAATTTAGTTTGATACTTTAACTCCGAAATAATATTTTTATTAACTATGTTAACTTTCTTAATATTTTTATTTTTTTATTGTATCACTGTTTATTTCTTATTTATCATTTGTTTTTTTTTCTTCTTCTTCTCATTCTTTTTTTATTTTTTTCTCTTTTTTCTTTCTAAAAATTGCATGTACTCACATTTTTTTCTCATTTTTTATACTTATTTATATTAACATTTTTACTGTAACACAGTACAAGAAGAAGGTAGAAAAAAATAGATTAAAAAAAAAGTTGGATGAGAAAGAGGAATAGTGAGCTAGAGAGAGAGAAAAGAATAAGTTTAGAAGAGGAAAAAAAAGAGCAATAAAAAATTTTGTGTGGGATTGTGATTCAGTCTCATAACTAGACGATCTCGTTAGTAAATTTTACATTTTCGTTCAAACAAAAATACAAATTTTTAATTAATTGGATTGAACAGTTCTCATAAAAAGGAAACTAAATCATAATCCTTCGGTGTGATAGAAGAAGAGTGAATTTGAATAATAAAATTTTTTTATTTAAAATACATTTCAAATATAAGGTATAAAAATAAAATAAAATAAAGGATAAAATTAAAAAAAAATTTAGAGGTTTAATCTACTAATTTTGTCTATTTATAATTAAAAAAACAACAATAATAAAAGGTGTAAAGATTTATATATTATTTAGAAGATTATTTTCAACACACAAATGCAAATGTGGACCCAACACTACGAGTGAGCACATAAAAGATAAAATCAAAGAAATAAATAGACACGATATAAGCAATTAAGACATATTTTCTTTTGTTTATCTTAGAGTATCTTTATCCTCTAACCATTAAAAAAATTTGTATAATTTTCTTACACTTTAAATTCTCATATACACATGTGACTATATTTTATATGCAATAATTATTTATATAAGTAACAATTTCTTTTTTATATGATTCTCTTTTTATCCTTTTCACCGATAAAATGTTTTTTAAAATAAATTATCTAAAATATATATAGTCCATTATCGAATTCCATTGACCAATGAAGTATCAAATACGGTTCCATTTGCATGACCATGGTTGAAGTTGGTCTAATTTAGGTTAGCCGGCAATTTCATTTTACGGGATTAGTTAAAGTTCTACTCTTTTGCGTTAGATAAGTCATACTACACCTTTTCCACTTATTGGCTTGGTCAAGTTAATCTTAAAATTTATCGGATCTAAATCTTGAAATTCAACATCACCCAACCCATCCAAATGCCACTATTGAATTTGCAAAAAAACTAGCTAAGAGGACGAAGAGACAACAAGGTGTGGCCACACATGAAGGCCACAGAAAAATCTGTGTTCTTAACTTTGCAATGGTCAGTGTGATTTGTGCACCTGAAAAGGTGAAAGCAAAGCTTCGTGAAATGTCGATACCTTCTTAATTATTTTTTAAATTATTTGACCTTTACTTTTATATATTAGCTAAAAACATTAGTGTTTTGACATGTTCTTGCGGCACCACGTTCTTCGCTGTCGGTGATCTGTTCAGATCCAAGGTATTGTTGAATAACAGAAATAAATTTTGAAATGCTTTTGCCTATCAATTAATATAATCTCCATTCATCCTTGCTATTAATTTCAATTCAAACAACTACTTATTTTCTAAAGCAGAATATGTATAATAAATGACATTATCAATAACTAGAGAGCGTTACAAACTCACAAGAATAGCCCGTGGTTTATGAAGTGGGAAGCATGATTAATTGTTATGATGATATTGATAAAACAAGTAGGCGTGGGATGGACGCGCTGCGATGCAGATGTGTGAAGCATCGCATCTTCATGAATGATGATGGAGTGTAGCTGTAACAAAACGACCTTTACTGGCGCGTGGGACCCTTCTGTTCACCGCCAATCGTGCCCCCACCTCATCGTTTTCGTTTCAACGCCTACGCGGACTCATCAAATCTTCACTTCTTCTTTTTTTTAGGATAATTTTACTTTTTAAAGTTGTTAAATTATATATATTTAATTCAAATGCATTCTTGATAACAATGCACTCATATTATATTACCAGTTAATGCTAAATTTTTATGTTAATCATACCATTAACTTTTATGATAATTTTATAAAAATATATTAAAATTAATAATGTTTATATATATAATAAATTTGTTCATTTCTTGTTACACGAGAGATATGATTTGTCAAGAATAAAAGATGAAAATATTTAATATTTATAAATTAATTTATTACGTAATTACATACAAATAATTAAAATTATTTGGATATATTTTTTAATAAAATTCAGAATATTATCATTCGTTTTAAAAATTAATGTTTATAGTAATTTTCACTTAATCGATATTAATCTAATAATAACTTTATTATTATTATTATTAGAAACTTCACTCACTCTATAGACACTGGTAGTCAAATGGTTAAGTTTCTTCTTTTATATGAACAATTCTACTCACTTACCAATATTTGACATATTTTTACACTATAAACTAGTTTATAAGTAACTATTTTCAACTCAACTTTAAATAAAAATATCAACTTACTATGAAATAAACATATAAAAATAACTTAACAAAAAAAAAAAAGTCTATTAGATAAAAAATAGTCTTATAGCCTAAATATCATATTGAACATAATACTACACGAAAGTGCAGTGATAAATTAATTTTTAGATTAATAATATTCGTATAGATTAAATTTAAAAAATAATGAATACTTGATTAATAGATTTTATTTCAATAAAATATTTTTAAAATATGAGTAGATGTTAATTGTCGTATTATGTGCATATAATTGTTAAATTTAATAAATATATTTAAAATAATAAACAATACATAATTTAATAAATAATTTATATTTTATAAAAATATAAAATAGTAGAATAGGTGAAATTTATTTTATATATAAGATATATTACATGAAATAGATTATTTTATATGAATATAAAAAGAGTGGTAATTTCTTAATTTTACTTTTAGGAAAAATACTTTAATTTTTTTTACTTTAATAAAATGTATTTATTCAATTACTTTTAAAATATACTGAACACCCTAGAATTTTAGAACCTATATGCTATACGTTTAAAATTATTTTTTCTCACTATAATAAATATAGATTTAAAATGTTTATTAATTTAAATTTAATAGATTAAAACTAATCCTATTAAAAAAATTTAAATCGTGTCACACTTTCCGTAGAAAGTATAAACAAAATAAAATTGGTTTAGAGAGAGAGATGAAGAGTAAGGTGAAATTAAATTACTAGTATTAAACTGGTCAATAGGCACCTCATCTTTGGCTCTAACTAAATAACTAAAAAAGAAAGATATCGTATTCGTAACATACACAATTTTCCATTTCCCTTTTTTTTTTCCTTTTATTTTCTTTCCACTTTTCCTTTTGCCCCTTTCTGCCCTTCTTCCTTCATGTGAACATGATTGATGCTGATGCAACTTCATAACATTTACACTTTTATTGACATCTCTCACTGCGAAAGAAATTCGTTGTTTGGTTCCTCGGAAAATTTATAAAACCTCTCTCTCTCTTTCTCTATTAGCTCGTTACTCTAAGTAGTCCCAGATCTTCCCAACAATTGCTCCTCTTGGCTTTATATGATTGGTAAGACATTTTCCTCGTTTAAATTTTCTTTATTTTTTTCCCTGTTTTTCTTTTCTTCTCCCATTTTTTTTTTATTTTGTTTTTTTTTGGTTATTTCACTTCTGGGTACTCTGAAGTTTTTTTTACGTCCATTTGTGCCCCCAAGTAAATCATTTTCAGTATAAGGTTTGTGAGCGTTCTTCATTCATAACTTTGAATCTGTTCGTGTGCATCTTGCATCGTATTTACCTAAAGTTAGATCCCATATGATTCACCTAGCATGTGGTTAGTTCATTAGTGTGTTTCGTGTTCTTTGTTTTTTTTTTTTTTTGTTTATCTTTAAATGTTTTTGTTGTTGTGGGCAGTACACAAACGCGTTTCCCTTGTCGATCGCTTAGAAAAACGTGTGCTAGCAATGGAGTTTAAGCTCCATGCTGTTGAGAAGATCTCGAGCTTGCTTTTCATCCCCCCCCCCCCCCCCCCAATACTTTTATAGTATCTTATAGACTAATAATTGCTTCGTGATGGTGATTGAAAGTGAACTGACATGATTCATTGGACCTTAATTTTGTTCGTTAGGAGTTGCAAGTTGTTAATTTGTTCGTTGGAAGCAATTATCTTTGTTTGATTTATGTTTTTTGTTCTGGATCTTGAATAACTGATGTAGCATTTAGTGTTGGGAATTTGTTAATCGTATTGGGTATCATTTATGTAATTCTGAGTAAGAACTGGTATTTTCAGATTCTACATGGCAAAACCAGGTTCAGCTGATAGTAGGACTAGAAGCTCTGTGCAGATCTTTATAGTAGTTGGTCTATGCTGTTTCTTCTACATATTGGGTGCATGGCAGAGAAGTGGTTTTGGAAAGGGAGATAGCATAGCATTGGAGATTACCAAGAAAGGCGCAGACTGTAATATAGTTCCTAATTTAAGTTTTGACTCTCACCATGGTGGAGAAGTTAGTAAAATTGACGAGTTTGAGTCAAAACCCAAGGTTTTTAAATCTTGCGATGCTCGTTATACTGATTACACTCCCTGCCAAGATCAACGGCGTGCCATGACCTTTCCTAGAGAAAACATGAACTATCGAGAGAGGCACTGCCCCCCTGAGGAAGAGAAGTTACACTGTTTGATCCCAGCACCAAAGGGGTATGTAACTCCGTTTCCATGGCCAAAGAGCCGTGATTATGTTCCATATGCAAATGCACCCTACAAGAGCCTAACAGTCGAGAAGGCCATTCAGAACTGGATCCAATATGAGGGAAATGTGTTTAGATTCCCTGGTGGTGGAACTCAGTTTCCTCAAGGTGCAGATAAATATATTGACCAACTCGCTTCTGTGATACCTATTAAAGATGGGACGGTTAGGACAGCACTTGACACTGGTTGTGGGGTATGTTTGTCATTGCAGAATGCAGATTCCCTTAGGCTTATATCAAAATTCTGTTTTCATTCTTGTACATGTTAATTTGATTAACAACCTAATCAGTTTGTTTTTAGCTTTGTATCCTTATAAATGTAAAGTTGTTTTGTTCAGGTTGCCAGTTGGGGCGCATATCTCTGGAGCAGAAATGTTATTGCCATGTCGTTTGCACCAAGGGACTCTCACGAAGCACAAGTACAGTTTGCTCTTGAAAGGGGTGTACCTGCTGTCATTGGTGTTCTGGGAACCATAAAATTGCCTTATCCATCTGCAGCCTTTGACATGGCACATTGCTCTCGCTGCTTGATTCCTTGGGGAGCAAATGGTGAGATATTTACATTAAATATAATATTCTCTAAGAAGCACTTTCTGTAAATAAGAGAGCGCAATGATTATGCACTCATTCCTGTTCTCTTAGATTTCACCCCTTATATCATATAACTTGTGACAACAGCTATTTACAAATGCATTTTGGGTTGCTTATTTTGCAGATGGAATGTATATGATGGAAGTTGACCGAGTTCTAAGGCCTGGTGGTTATTGGGTACTTTCGGGGCCTCCAATCAATTGGAAGGTTAATTACAAAGCCTGGCAAAGACCTAAGGAAGAGCTGGAAGAAGAACAGAGAAAGATTGAAGAGATTGCTAAGCTCCTTTGCTGGGAGAAGAAGTCTGAGAAGTCTGAAATTGCCATTTGGCAAAAAACTGTAGATTCTGAATCATGTCGGAACAGACAAGAAGATTCCAGTGTAAAATTCTGTGAAGTGACAGATGTTGATGATGTCTGGTATGACCCTTCATTTGGTGTTAAACAATTTTTATCTAACATCCTTTTATTAATATACCTTATATTTCTTTTTACTAGTAATAGGCACAAACATACAGGAGTGCATAAAGCCATGAGAAAAGTTGTGGAGAAAATGATAAAAAAAAGTAAAAACAATTGGTTATTCTATTAAAAAGATAATCGGTAATCAAGTACCAAGTCCCATATGGTTTTGGAGGTGCCATGCACCATCCTCCCCTTCCCAGTCTCAAATGAGGCAAAATATGTAATTGTTGTTGTTACTTCTTTGATGTTTGCACATGTAATTATAAAAAAACTGTGACCATTCCAATTTATCATTGTTTTGTATATCACATTAAGTATTAACAAATTAATCCTTTTCTTTATTTTCATTTAAGGGTGTCTCTGTATGGATTTTACATATGCTGAAAATCTGAGTGATGATTACGTTCAAAAGCAAATGGTCTGCTGACTTGGTATGGCTTTGTTTTGTGACTACAGGTATAAGAAAATGGAGGTCTGCATTACCCCGAGTCCTAAAGTTTCTGGTGATCTTAAGCCATTTCCAGATAGGCTGTATGCCATCCCCCCTAGAATTGCTAGTGGCTCTGTTCCTGGAGTTTCGGATGAGACATACCAAGATGATAACAAGAAGTGGAAAAAACATGTAAATGCTTATAAGAAAATTAATAGGCTCCTAGACTCTGGAAGGTATCGCAACATTATGGATATGAATGCTGGATTGGGCAGTTTTGGAGCAGCTATTCAATCATCTAAATTATGGGTCATGAATGTTGTGCCTACTATAGCGGAGAAAAGTACACTGGGTGTCATATATGAACGAGGACTTATTGGTATCTATCATGATTGGTATGGTTTTTTAACTTCTTCCTCCTATATTTTTAATGGCATGTCTTGATCTTATATATTTAAATACTTGTAGTAACTACTAATCTTATACTGTTATTTGAATAAAATTTTCAAATTTCCATAATTATGATTTGATTTAAACATGTAGTCTGCCAATTATTATGCCATCTTTTATAAAATTGTGATGTGACTAGCTGTACACTTTTTCGTAATCAGCCTCCTTCATCACATGTTTTTCCTTATTTATTTATGTGTGTTTATGATCCAGGTGTGAAGCTTTCTCCACATACCCAAGGACGTACGATCTCATTCATAGCCATGGTCTCTTCAGTCTGTACAAGGATAAGTAAGTATTCCTTTGTTTAAATGGTTATTCAATTATTCTTCCCGTTAGTTTTAAATTTTAATTCAATATCAATTCATAATCAATATTTTTGGACATGCTTAGCATGCAATTATGGTGTAGATGGTATGAAAATGATTTCTGGGTAATGAGCCTAAACAACTTCCCTCCAGATTTGAAACGGAATGGGCAAGTGTTCATATTTGTTCAGGACATTTATTGAGTCTAATATGGTCTGTACACCCTGTATGGTTAAAAGTTAAAAAAATATTATGACCTTTGCTTTATTATTTATATTTTTTATTGTGATTATCGTATGAAAGATTGAAAGTGTTCACATTGCGATTTGATGATGATTATATGTTGTCAACTTGTCATGAATCCCTGGTTTCATTGTTCTCTGAGATGTTCTTTTTATGATGCTCCATAGGAAATCAGCTAGTATTTATGCTTTGCAGTGAGATTGCTATAACAGCTAATATGGTTTTATTTCACCGAATCTGATTCATTGGTCTATTTTTCTCTCTCATGTTTTGGTTCTTTCTGTTTCCTTTGGTCAGAAATTGTATTCATTCTTGCATAACTGAAAAGCATGCTGTGATAATTAAACGCAGATGTAATATAGAAGACATTCTTCTGGAGATGGACCGGATTTTACGACCAGAAGGTGCTGTAATATTCCGCGATGAAGTGGATGTCTTAATTAAGGTAAAGAAAATAGTTGGAGGAATGAGATGGGATACTAAAATGGTTGATCATGAGGATGGTCCACTTGTTCCTGAGAAGATCCTAATTGCTGTCAAGCAGTATTGGGTTGTTGGTTCAAATGCCACATCAACACAATAATCACTGAACACCAAGTTGAAAGACAACTACTGAACTGCTCCCTGATTCGGCTGTCCTAAGTTCTTTTATTGTCCAAGAAGGATGTGGGATTAAGTGTGTTCGGATAAGCACGCAAACTTGACTTTGAATTAATTTAATTTTGTAGAATTAGTTTTGTTTTAAAAATGAATTTAAAATGATATGATTTGTTTGAGAAGTTTAATCTTAAAATTTAGTTCCTACTTCGTAGTAAAAAAATTTACTTGATGCAAAAAATTAAAATTAAAATATAAGGGTGAATATTCAAATTAGTCCTTGAAAAATAATGTCAATGGCACTTTGATCCTCGAAAAAAAAGGAATAATTTTAGTCCCGAAAAATTATAAAAATGAGGCACAAGTTCTGATATTTGATGAATGTAAGGATTAATATGTCATTATTTTCTAATGTCGAAGGACTATTTGATGACTTGTTTTTTTACAATGACTAAATTAGGTCTAATAAAATTAGATTGAAAGGAAAGAGTATCAATTATTTTTATCAAAGCTAATGTTCGACCTAACAGAACCATTGTTGTTTATACCTATAGTTTGTTTAAAAGTGATTCTGAAAATTTCAATGTTAAGAAAAATGAATGTTTTCACTATAGGCATTTTGACAAGTAACAACCATAATCGTGATAGAAATGAAAATAACAACCATAATCTTGACAAAAAATGAATGCTATAAGTAAGGCTTTTGGGAGAGTGGAGGAGAATATTCATCAATATTACACCCACCTTTTCATTACATTAACAGTGATAGAAATGTTCCACAGCTTTAAGAGGGTGACCAAGCAGCATATATTGTTTTGACAATTCTTATATGACAGTGATAGGCTCCACTCAGCATTGTTGGTGCCCAATTCTTTGTTGCTCCTTTCTCACCGATGGAAATGAAAAGAAAATAGTCAAAATACCAATACAGTAGTGAATTAGCTTTTGTGAAATGTCAGAGATATGTTGCCATGGAAATTAAAGAACAAAATGTGCCAAAATTTTCAACTCAGTCATGATCAGAACTCTTCTACCCACAACCACAAGACAAGCCTAGGTTTTTCCGAACATTCCAATACCAATCTTGGTTCTAGTTATGGGTCACGGGCTGAAGCCTCCAAGAATGATATTTACCTCAGTGGACATTATAGATCACATGTCAAATCTAGATGGTAATTATTTTCTGCACTTTCCTTTTTTACATTACTTCTGAAATTTAATTACAGAAGAATTTAATATATTTCAAAAATTAAATTTCAGATGTAATTTGCTAATCAATTTCAAGATTAAATTTTCATCCAGAACTAAATTTGTAGAAACATATATAAATATTTTTTAAATTTAATTTTTAGAAGAATGTTTGATACATTCTATAATAAAAATTCTAGATGGGTTTTTAAATACTCATTTAGATATGTAATTCTGAATGTAATTTGTTAATAATTTCCAAGATCAAATTCATATCCAGAATTTTAAAGATTATTTAAGGTATGCTTGAAAGAGCTTATGGAAAAAATAACTTAGCACTTTCATAAGCTTTTTTTAATTGCTTCTTAGTGTAACTTGTCAAAATAAGAAGCTTTCAACTTATTCCAACAAGATTCATGGTTAAATTTTATGGCATAAGTCATCATTTAGAAAGAACTTAATTAATAAATGCTTAATTAAGCTGTATCCAAATGTGGCCTTAACACGATCAGAAATGATGAAAAACAAGGTGGGTGGTGTAAAACTTTCATTCCAGACAAGGTACACTGCTGTGAATCCAAGACAGGGTGGTCATGGGGGGTCCCTGGTTGCTTGCAAGTTCATGTTACACAATAAGACTAGCAAGGAAGGTTGGTGTGAAATTAATTGCAAGGAAATTCCTAAACGTAATTTAAGCTATGATGTTGGATAAGGACAGAACAGGTGATTTAACAGTTTTTGAAAGAGTTTCTTTAATTATGGACTAAAAAAATGTTTTTTAATTAAAAAATATTATTTACTATAACTTAAGCTAAAACCAAAGCACATTGTTAATATCAAATGGCACCAAATCTAATCTGAGTATGTCCTTATTGTACAAAATCAAAAAGGGTCACTTAAGTAATTTATGGTTAACCAGTTATATAACTTGATTAAAAGCCTTCAATTAATTAACGGATTCAAACTAAGTGAAGGGTCACCTTGGTTGTCTATATTAAAGCCACTGTGACCGGGGTCCGCGGAAGCTATTTATTATCTATCCCTCGTTTGGTTTTAGCTTAGAGTGTGGTGTAGAATAAACGTTATGAAATCTTGTCAATATTTTATGTCTGGTTTGGATATATTGGGTAGATATGATAGCTAACTAATGCCACTGTTAAGAAATATTTTTGCTTTGTTATTACTGCCAAGTTTGTGTGGACAGTATATCTTTGAATCAAACAGACAAGTTTTTGCTAGTTGCTAGGTGCCTTGGACCCTTGTTTTTGTGGTTTTGGCATTTCAAAAGCATGAACCTTTGTTCATTTTCCAAAATTTAACCAAGGTTTTAGTATGGCCCAACCAAACAGAAAACAATGCATTAACTGTATTCAAGTACCAATAAGTTCCTTTGTGTCCCTTCTCTTCAGTATCTTTCATTATTGAATCTCAATAACATGCTTGGTTTCTTTAATATTTTAGTTAAATGTGTATTAAACTAGAATGGACTATTCACTAGGTATTTAGAAACAACTGTGAAAAGGAAAAGCGCAACACGTATAAAATGATGGGACTACATATACAATCAAAGTGGATCAGAACATGTTTCTCTCTTGTTGTTATCACCCTTTCTCCTGGAAGGAGACAAATCAGAGGGGTTTCCAATATAAGGAACACACCGTTGTTAATATGGTCTTGTTAACTGCCCGCCCTTCAGACACTAGTTAAAGAATCAATGTATAAAACTTCATTGAAAATCACATTGGAGGTACAATGGAAATCATGGTGAAAGTGCATTAATAGTACCTTCTAATAAACAGTTTTGTAACCTTAAGATTTTAGGGTTGGATTTAAGCTATTAAGAGTAGTAAAATTTTACTGAAAATGAAGCAATAATTTACTTTTGAAAAGAATAATAATTTACTCATTTTATATGCTTAAATTCAACCTAAGAACTAACATTAACAAAACTGTTTAATAAAAAATTTCTATTTTTTTACTTTTTAACTAGTACCCCTAGCATTTCCCTTGTTAGTATAGGGAGCTAAACTCACCATATTTTCGAAAAAAATGTGCTATTACATGTTGGGTAGACTATTAATTAGACCCTTTATCCGTCCGAACTCTGAATTCAAGAAATTTCTGCTTTAAAACTATTTATGAAGTGTCAATTAGGCTACAAGCACATGGCCCTACATATTTGACATTTAGCATATTCCATTAGCCTACTTGTGTAGTTACTCTTGAATGAGCCAGGCAGTTATTCAGCTATTCATTTCAAATTCTCTCTTGCATCCACTTCCTTTCCCTCTATCTAGTTTTAGCCTTGCCTTCACATAAAAGTTTTCCTTTCAACCTTGCTACCTTTCCTTATTCTTCTGGCCCTTTTGCACTCATAATTTATCGTAATATTAATTCTTATAGTTCAAAGTGTTTTGGTATCTTTGCCTACACCACTTTTCGTTTTCCAATCTCATTTTGTTCCTTTTGGGCCTTTTCTTCTATCAGCCTCTCAACGAACAGGTTATTTTTAGGCCACTTTCTGTGGGTACTTTGATACTCTAACTATGGTTATCAAAGCAACCACTTCCAACAACCTCCATCAGTTGCAAACATTCAACTCTCAGAATAACAACCACCTCCGTGATGCTTCCTTCTCTTCATACTTGAACAACAATGAAGGGAACTTGGCTGAATCAAGCCACCCCTTTATCAGCAACGGAAAGGATCCTCTTTACCAAGGAGTAAAGAAGGAAGATGATGGAGAAATTGAAGTATTTGAGGCTGAAAAGTACTTCAACGGAGAAGATATGGAGAGCCCCCAAATATTTGTTTACAATGATGCAAATAAGTACCAGTGTCAGAAAGATGAAAAAACAGCTCGAGAAACTAGGAAGTACAAGGTTCAGTGGGGAACTCCTAGTGTTCTCTCTGAATCCAGTTTGAACAGCCAAAGTGCAATGTTAAAAAGTTCTATGAAGAATTCTTCACGGAACATGAAAAACAAATTACAAAGAATGAGTTTTCTGGCTGGTCTTGGTTGCAAATGCTATTGTTCTGATAAGAATTCTGTTGATATAAGTGACCATGCAGGTGAGATCAGTTTTAACAAAAATGCTACTTATGATGTAGTTCATGGAAGAACAAAAAACGTGTTCAATGCTGATCCAGATGCTAAACATTCAGTTAAAATGATCAAGCCTCATTCAGAACTCTTAATCAATAGAGATGTCTACTTCCATAAGCCAGAGAAGTTAGGAGTGGGAATGAACAGAGAAAACAGTTTAGCATTCCCTACTTTGAATTCTAGCTCAGGAAACCAACTTGTCAAAATGCAACTTCAACAAGTAGAGAAGCCAAGGAAATCATTGGAAGTGTTTGGCTCCCCAATAATGGATAGCAGGTGCAAGTCCTTGAGCTTTGATAAAAGGTTGACAAGGACTTCTTGGGATGCTGCTCCTAAAATGGAAGAAACTGACTTATCAGCAAATTCTGGTGGAAACTACAATGATGCTGAGAGTGATGCAAGTTCAGACTTGTTTGAGATTGAAAGCCTCACAGGAAAATCCAATTCCTTCATTGCTAAACCAACATCGAATGTTGTTTCTAGCTGTGCCAGCCCCACAACTTGTTATGCACCAAGTGAGGCAAGCATAGAATGGAGTGTGGTCACTGCAAGTGCCTTGGAGTACTCAGCCATGTCAGATTATGATGATCAAAGGTCAATAGCAACCACAAGGAGTCCAATAAGGACATCCTTAGTTTCATCAAATGCTAAACCGAAAGTCATCAAAGAGATGCAGAAGCGTCATCCTACCATGCTTTTGGGTTGCAAGAGCCAGAAAGCTATAGGAGTTGCTGAGCATGCCTTCACAACATATGAGAAATCAAGTTCTAACGCGCATATTCGGCGCAGGTCAGACACCTTCCCTCCGGTGACACAATTTAAGACAAAGGAGGTAAATTTTGGTGCAAGACATAGGCAACATGCTTATGCTACAACAACACTTCAGCGCTCACACTCTCCACATCCTTCACAACTCTTGTACATTTAGCTGCTGCTTGGATATTTGTGTATCTTTTTCTGTCTTTGGAATTTGTTCAACGAGTAAACCCTCACTTATTCTGTATGCATCAATCATTTTAGTCTCTAACTATTAAATTTTCCCGTAAGTCCTTGACTTTGAAAAACGTCATTCACTTTAGTTCTTAACATTAGTGGAAAAAAATGAAAATTGATGTGAATGATGTTTTATGAAGTTAGGAACTAAGGTGAAAGTTAATGCAGGTAAGACTAAAATGACTGACACATACCAGAGATAAAAGTGAGGGTTTACTCTTGGTTCAGTTATGAATCGTAAGTCTTGAATTTGTGTGATAAGAGTTTTTATTTTGTTGGTTCTTGTGTTTTTCCAACAATAATGGTAGCAGAAGTAGTAAAGTAGATAAGCTTTTAGTCCAGAGTCCGCAAGGCAAAGAAAGAATCTTATGGGCATCAAATCATCATCTCAAGTGGGAAGGTTCTTGTGTCTCCCTTTTGCTGATCTTCATGTATTCTTCTGTTTGCTTTGATATGTACTTTCATTCAGTTTGTGCAGTTTCTGGTAGAATATCTTGATAGAATTAAAGTATGCGTTGTATTCATGCATTTGGTCTCACATAAAGAAAGGTTTGGATATGAAATGTGCCCTCGTATTGTCAAGGCAATGGAAACTGCCTATTCATATGCTCTCTCCTATCGAAGAGCCTGCTTGTTGCATAGCTTTTTGTTTTTATGCATTGTTGGATCTGATCCCAAGGACCATAGCCGTTTAGAAAAATGCGCATAGCATAAATTTTCAAAAGTATTTTCCTTTCCACTTTTCAGGATATTTTTCTTATAGGACCACAAGCAAAAGAAAACGAAACCAAAAAAAGTGAGATGTATCTACTTGATAAAGCTAATTATAAAGTTAATGATTCTTTAAATACAATGAGGGTTAATGATAGACAATTAAGTTCTAATCGTTTCTCCTTTTGTTATGCAATAGATGAAAAATTCAAGCCAGAAGCACTTTTTAATCATGTGATAATGAGAGGCTATATTCCTATTGCAGACAAAAGGTGATACTAATGAGGAGCTTACTGATCATACAACTGTCCATTGTCCAAAAAATAACTTTCAAACCTCAAGGAGAGAATGTCTTTACAGCAACATTCAACTAGCAAAAGCGACACCTTAATATGAGCACCAAGGAATGAAGCTAGCTGCATTTAGTTCTAAACCCACCTCATCAATAAAGTGGTCCATCAACTTAATCATCTTTCTTGTGTCATTCCATTCATCCAGATATCCATCAGATATAATAGACAGAGAGATAAGAATTAGTTTACATGCTAGAAGCCTCTTGCAATTTGATTCTGGCATTTTGCTGAACTGAAAAATAGAGGCTATACTATGTATCAATACTTGATGAATCAAATGAAGTTTAATTCATTACTCCCATCCAAGCATATATACGGCGGTATCTGATTAAGGCCTGCTCCTAGAAGTAGGCTGCATTCCCTCTCTAAAATGCAACAAATTTGAACATTTTCCTTTTAAGCAGTTAATGAAGTTTTTACACACATAATGGACAAGCATGCAACCATGTGATTCTGTGGTTAAACTATTTAGTTCTGAAAAAGCAAGAGATGATAAGATATTAATGCCACAAAAAGAGAGGATATATATGCAAAATATAATATGATCCTGCCAACTTTATTGGTTGGGCAACCTTGTATGTGGTGCAAATTAACAGATTAATGGTCCACTCCAATCAACAAATCAGAATATTAAGCAGTTGTCATTTTTAATGTCTATGCATTATTAGTTAATACATCACTGACTAAAGATTATCATTGTGACCATATGTGATAGTCATGGGCCACAAAAGAGATTATAGCATTTAAGCTCTTTGATTGGGTCCCAATAGCCCTCACGTGGAGCTAAAAAGAGCCTCTAAAGATTAATCCATTAAACTTGAAAAAATACCAGTAATATCTGCAGGTCATATTCTAGTCATCTAGTGTCTAATATCTTCATCATGAGCCAAGAGGGTTATTAATTAAGGTATATCTGTTCATAGTTAGATGATGAATAAGACCTTACATTGTTGATTTATGATTCTAACCACACATTGTTTCAATACATTTAAGGGTTTTAGTTTGTTGATTTAGATGGATGGAAAAACATGTTTGGTACTTGTATCAATAATGGCAAAGAAAGGATAAAAATACCAGTCCTTTCTATAGAAATCACAAGTCACAAGAGGATTTGATGTTCAACAAATCCATGGCTCTGCCTTGTATAATGTCTATGATTAAAATAATACTACAGATTTGTTTGTCATGTAATATAGCTCCTTTCTAATCCTTGAAATTTTATAGTCCATTGCTGTACAAAATTTTCAAATTTTACTCCTTACTTTTTACAAAAGCTTTTTAAAAATTTTAATCTCCTTTTTCATAAAAAAAAATATAAAAGTGAATAAGATCTTATAAAATAAAAGACTAAAAGCAACTAACATTTATCATTTCAGAAATTAAAATAAGGATTTAATTGAAAGAAAAAATTGCATCTAAAACATATGAATCTAATTAATGAGTTGTAGGCATACCTGCCGCCAACTAAGCTCATTGTTGTACGAATACCATTATTCATAATTATATATCATGCAAAAATAATTTCCTTGGTTGTTTATTAATAACATGGAAAGGTTTTTATTTTTTATTTTATTTTGCTAGGGTATTTATTTATTTTAAAAGTAAGTCTATTAACTTATTTCATTTAATAATTTTTTATAAATATTAAATTTTATGAATCCAACTATAATTTAAGAATTTTTAATAACTTGATAAAATTTATAAAATAGTTTAATTCTTCATTCAATAATTTTATTTTAAGGTATACTGTGTCTTTAAAAAAAATTACCTACTTACAAATATTTAATTGTTCTAAAATTTTACATTTAATAATGCAAATAATGTTACACAATTTAATTAATAAAATTTATGTTTGTAAAAAATTATTGTGTTAGTGCGCGAATGCTTACATTTATTAAATAGTATGTTTATTAGTTATAATATATTTATTAGATGTATGATTATTCATCTTACTAAAATTTATTGAAAAATTCTTCCTAAGCAAAAGAATTATAAATTTAAAATCTTAAATTATATACTAAAAACTATTATTTCAATTATTATTTAAAATAAATATAGTTATAAAAATATTAAAAAATAACAATTTAAGTCAAAATCTCTATAATATATAAAAATTGATGAATATATAATTCATTACTTAATTTTTTTTGTTTAATTATTGTAAATAAACTAATCCAAATTAATTTGAATTGTTATTAAACTATTTTTTATTAGTTTTAAACACATTTTAAACAAAAAATACAATAACTTTAATATTTTTACATTTAAACAATTTAACGCAAACATTATTTTTCATTAACGTTTATTTTATGAATTTAGTTGTAAAAAAATATTATATAACTTGTGGAATTTTTTAAATATTAAACCAAATAATATCTGCTTAAGTAAATGAATGATTTTGACCAAAATAAAACATTTACAATATCCAAATTTTCAATAATTAATAAGAGTTAAAAAATATTTAAAAGAAAAGTACTTAATACCTATTCCTTTATAAAAACATTGTTGATAAGATTAATAGTTACATTGTCTACGTATTAAAGCAACAACAAAATAATATAGAATCTCAAACAATTTTGGCAAAGTAACTACTATAATTTAGTATTTTATCATGCAAAAGTAGTTATATATTTCATTATCAAAAGTGATATCATCAAAAGAGTTAAAAAGTTATTAGCGAAAAAAAGAGTTAAAAAGTTTTATTATTAAACTAGACGGGTATATGCAAATTATATTTTAAAAGTAGTGGCCAATAAAGTATTTAATAATCTACTTCAACATATTTAAATTTTATCATAATCTTACTAAAAAAAAAAAAGCTAAAGAATCATATTGTGTTTTTGAAAATACATATATTATATTAAAAATATTTTCTACAATGAATTACTTATAACAAATTAATAAACTTTAATATATTTTTTGTATATTTATAACTTTTTTTTTATATATTTATACAAGTCCTACGTAACTCGAGTATTTTATACATTTGATAAGTAATGTTAATGAGAGAATTTTTATTGGATATTCAATGCATTTGATATTTATTCACTATATAATAAAATAATGAGTCTTTGAGTTATAGTCCATTTCCTTTTTGTAAGGTAAATATTAATTAGTGCATTGATTAAAGAATTTTAAAATAGTTTTAACGTGATTTTTAGTGCATCATTAGCATGATCTCTAATAAATTTTTATTTATTTATCTTTTAAGCAATGTCCTAAAAATACTTATTAGCAAGACTTTTTTTATTACTCTACTTCCTTTGCTTGAAAATTTCTTCTTTTGATAATGTACGCAAATTAAAGGCATTTATTTTATTACTCTACTTCCTTTTAGCATACGAAATCTTGTATTACTTATATAATCTTATACATTTATTTTTGTTTATTTTCGGGTCCTTCGTGAGGTTTTTGGATTCGCCCGTCCTGAAGTCATCTAAAAATTGATAAAAGGGATAAAATGGAGTCAAATCAACTAAAATGACATTAATTGTCATTGCTTAAACTTGTTTAAACTGTAATTTAGTAACTGGATAAAATTAACTTGTTTATAAATTTAGTTATCATTCCGTTTCACTTTTATTTCATTCTATTATAATGATGTATTATAAAGCAATACATGAATATTCAATTTTGTAGATAAGCTTCAACTTTGTACAAAATCCTTTCTTTGGCAGGATCCAACTCCTTCATGGTAAGTGATTACTTTTTTCAAAAGAGAAATAAAGAAATTTAACATTTAATGAGATAATTAAAGAATTGAAAAATGTTTAATTAAATTTCTGCAGCGAAATGTTTAAATGCTGCTCACACAGTCACACTGCTTCGCAAAGTCTGTTTACATAGCAATATGCAAATGACTTTTTTCTTTTATAATGTGAATATCTTTCTTTTTAAAGTGTGTATTCCAGCTATACAAGTTTGTACACATGACTCCATTCTATTTTGATTAAGTTAAACTTTGCTTATGAAACTTAAAACCCAAGTTTACTCTTATCTCGTTATAATGAATGTAGAAAAGTTATTCTATAATTAAAAAGATACTAATAATTATAATAATAAAAAGATAAATATAAAAATTTTACTTAACTTTTCATTCAATCACAATTTTCTTCATTTAAATTTTGATAAAAACATACTAATAATTATAGGATTTTGTTAACCTCTACTCTAATGATAGAGAATAAGCAGCTAATAATAATAAAATTTTATTAGAAAAAATATTTATTATATTTTTATAACTTCAATATAACTGTATATTTTTTTTCATAAAATTTTTTTATTTATAGATATTTAAACTCTCTTATGGTTAAGCTTAACAAAACTGATAATTATAATAATAAATTATCACTTTTAGGTGCTTCAATTTATATTTAAAAGTTTATATTAACATTATATATTACTGTATTAGTGTATTACTGCAGTTTTGGAAAGAAAAGTTAATCGGTACCCTTTGCGTTATAATATCAATAACCTTAGTAATTACTTATCAATACTTGGTGTGTGTGTGTGTGTATATATATATATATATATATATAGGATGGTATCCTCGTAAAAAAAATCTCTCGAATGAATGCCCTTTTTAAATTTTTTTGAATTTAGTATATGATCTCTTCCAACAGCTCTAATTTTTTTTCCACTAACATGTTTTCTATGAATACGAGAACAAAATCTTCTAAATGCAGTTTTCAAAAGGGTGTCTCCTTTTAAATCTAGGTAAAAAAGGAAAAAAAGAAACAAAACACAATTCAATGTTTTTGTTCAGATCTAGTGCCTATAGGATCAGACAGCTCAATTACTTGAGAAAGGAGACGCCTCAGAAATTTTGGCATTTTTTCCCATCAGAATACACACAATCCCCAGAGACAATTATGAGATCACTAGAATACAAATGGTTAGTGGATACATACAACTATCTCGTTCAATCATAAATACTTGAGGGCTCCACAGTGTACAGGATTAGATATAAGTCCATTTACAGATACAACAATCATTACATAACCGTACCAGTAAGGCCATAAATTGACCTTTATAGTAGAAAATAAAACCAGATACAAAAAATTCGCAAAAGAAATTACGTATTAGGATATCAAAGATTGCATGAGTAAGCAAGTTAAACAAGTGTATGAGACCAAAGCTACAAGGTATGGCTATAACAGCAAGCAATACAAGTTGAAAATCAAACCGTAATAAGTAAGGTAGCTCCTTAATTTCCTTTATTAAGTCTATCTGGTATGAACATAAGGGAAACAAAAATATAGAATAGGACACATCATATGTATATACAGGCATGATCACACTCAGGCAGTGCTGCTCATACCAAGGATAAGCACTACTAGTACCGATCAAGAATGCTCATCAGGCAAAAAGGTTAATCATCCTTGTAAACTTTGCAAGGTTTAGTTTCGAAACCACCACCTGGCCTCTCCTCCAATGAGTATGGCATGTAGGTACCCAAGATTCGATCCCACATTATGAAGAATGGCTGCGAGAAGTTGTACTTGTTACCATAGAGCTGATGGTGTACATCGTGGTAAGCAGAGTTGTTTTTGAAGAATATGTGGAAAAGGTTCCCAGGAAGTAGCAACCCACAGTGATCATCCACAGTTTTAATGGTGGCAAAGGAGAAGAAGAAGATGGAGGCTCGGGGACTCATACCCGAGACTAGGAAAGATAGAGCCCCACCTACAGTGTCATTAAGAAGCCCCTCCACAGGGTGATTGTACAGAGCTCCAAATGCATAGGGTACAACGAGTCTGTGATGTAGAGAGTGGATATGTTTGTATAGGAACTTGTTGTGATGCATGTATCTGTGCATAAAGTATTGCCATGCGTCCATTACCAGCATAGCAGTAATAAATTGTCTTGCTGAAACAAGTAGAGAAGTTTTCTGATTGTTGGTATTTTGGCTATCACTTCCGGTCACCTACACAATAACAAAAAAGACCCAATTACAATTTTGTTATCCAGATTCAATCATAATGTTACAATAACTCAACATATTAAACACAAAAAGCACAAATAGATCAACAAATTGAATTCCAAAAAAAATTTAACATAAAATTTTGGCAGAAAACACCCCATTGTTAGTAAATGCAAACCTTTAAATTGATTCAAATATTTGAATAGTTAGTCAATGTTGGTAAATGTCCACAACTCTTTTCTAAATTTTAAAAAGAAAGAACAATTTAGAGTAGCAAATCAATTCCCTATTCACATTAATTATTGCTATTTATGAATGCAAAACTCATTTTTAAGGAGCTCTCAATGCTGTATCATTAGATTTGATCTACGATTTGGAATTTGGTCATTTAGTGTAAAGTCATGTCCTTTTCCCTAACAGAAATGCCAAATAATTGGGTAGCTCCAATGTTTTTCTCCTTTCATTGTTGTTTTACATATGTTCGTATGATCAGGTGGATTCCATATGCTCCCATCTCTTTGTAATTTTTTCTGTCTAAATGGATTTCTTCTTGTATAAAAAAATTAAAGACAAATAATATAAATAAATAAATAAATAAATATATATATATATATGTACTTAACCTTTTAACGAAGTTCTCTAGAACTGAGGTGCATAACATAATTTTAACTTTTGGAATAAATTAAATTCATTTTGCCTTCCTGTTTCTTCTACTATACTTACTTACTAAGAAAATTATCCAAGTTGGGCATAAGCATAATAATCGAGTGAAGTATCTACTGATACCAACTTCTCCCTTAGAAGCAGCCTATGATAAAAGATGTAGGCCGAAAAACAATTCAATCACGTACAGCATTAAATCCCCAACCCCTAATAGAAGATTGAGTACTATATTCATATATACCAAATAGTAACAAAACCTTATCAGAATCTGCAATAGCACACAAATTCTTTGAGGATTATTTGTAATACAATAACATAACCAAATGAAAGAATAAGAAAACAAAAACACTTTGTTAGCTGTCAACGTTTCATCAAAAGACATAAAGGAGCCAAAACAGAAGCCTGTTGAGCAATTAAAAAGCTGGTTTTACAAAGCAACGTTGACTCAATCATTTCATGTTCAAGTGAAGAATCACACATAAAAAGGAAAAATAGAAACATTGTCACCAAAAAAACTTACCGCAAACAAGAGGGTTGCAACCACAGCCTGAACTAGCTGTTGAAGGAGAACACCTTTAACCACAGCACCCTTAGACACCAAATTCTTTTCATCCTCATCCTTCTTCGAGTGTAACCGATAATTCTCAGCAAACGAACCCAGAACAACGTAAATCCCAGAATAAATCCAGTAAACTACTATTGGAACAAAAGTGCCTAACACCTCATCAGAAACCCCCAAATCCATTTTCCCACCCGCCAGAAGGAAAAAATCAATTTTTTTTTCCCGTTGATTTGATTTAGCAACGACCAGCCAGACCCAAAATTTGCATTAATTTCAAAAAACCCAGAAACAAGAGGATTGATGACAAAATAAGAAACCCTAACAAAAAACCGAAAAATTGAACATCTCACTTCTCTTATTCCTCCAACCCCAAATTATTGATTGGTTCAGTCGGCAACCCCAAATAAAATAACGAACCAATTAAATAATGGGTAGGTACGTAATCAGAGTTAGGGTTCCACTCATAAGGAAGATTCCGAAGAAAACGAAAGAGAGAGAATATTGAAATTGTTCGCAGGTTTATGACTCGTAGCACAAAGGAAAATATCGGACAATCGTGTGCGCCACGGTGTTCGACGTTCTGGTGGTGCCATCGAACGTGTGGCAAAGTGGGTGTGGTCTTGTATCGTAAAAACGATTCTTATTGGTTGGAATGTAGGGGATTTACGTGGTTGCGTCTGCAGAGGATTGAATCCGTGGGATTATGCAAACGACGCCGAGTTTGACCGGGCAAGCTGGGGAACCTGTTTTGAATGTGTGGCCGTTTGAGTTGACACAAAGTCAGTCAGTTATGAAACGACACATTACATTTCGCGAGACAAGTGAAACGGATCGTCAAAAACATACTTCCAAATTAAGATTAACTACTCTTTTAATAATTTATTATTGTTGCTTTAGTGAAAAAATAATATGAAATCTTTGAATTTTTACTTTTATAATTTACTTTTTCTCTAATTTTTTTCTTTATTTTCTCTTCAACAAAGACAAAATTATTATTATAAATAGAAAATGATTAGTATTTTTATGACACATTATCCTCTGTTTTGACGAATGCTAAAAAATAGTTATTGTCGCTAACATTTCTCGGGATTCACGCCGCAAACACCAGAATATTAATCTCTTCTCATTAATCGTGCTGCATTTTGCCAACAAATTTTTAAACAGACACTTTTTTTTTCATATTTTTCGTAAGAAGTAATACTAGTTGAAGTACAATTAAATACACGTATGGTAACATCTTAAAGTAGAAATTGAATTATAAAGTATATAATAATTATTGTTGACCTATTAAGAAAATCTGATTGATAAAATGTATATAATTAACTCATTGGTTATTTTGCAGTAAGATAATAAAGTATAACTATAAAATAAAAAATTGGAAACTATTTTGAATATTATTATAAATAGAAAATAATTAGTATTTATAATTTATTTTTATAGAAGCCAAAAAGAGTAACGGATAAAAAATAAAAGTACTTTTACATTTATCTTGAAATTTGAAAATGACTGAGTAGTTTAAAACAGACGCCCATGGTATAAAACAGAGAAGATCTTGAAATTTAAAACAGAAGCCCACAGATAGAAGGAAATAGCTAAAACATATCTAGAAATTTAAAAACTGAAAGGGCCAAAGTTGCTTGGTTTTTGAGTTGAGGATATTGGGGGGGTCAAATCCATCAGACTCTGTTCAAGCCGTCTAGGTGACGCTTCCAATTTTGACTTTTATGCTAAAGGAAAAGAGCTTTGACTTTAACCTCCCAATATTAAACTTATGTATGAAAGATTTTTGTTATGAATTGTGACGTTTTTATCATGTAAAGCGTTTGGGGAGGCAAGGTGTGCATGTTTTATATATATGGTGTAAAAATTTATAACATAGTTTGCATGTTAATATTATTTTTATTTTTTATAACAGAAGATTGAGTAGGTGAAGGAAAAGAAGTTAAATAAAAATAAGAAAATAAAAGCTTCTAAAGTGAAGTGAGTAAATTTTAAGTATGTGGGAAAAATATATTAAATTGAGTATTATTTTTATAAACTTTTAGTCCTTCAAAATTTGTAGAATATCAGTAAAAGTAGGTCTCACTGAAAAAATATTATAGTTTGTATCTTATGCATAGAGAAAGTAAGAATGATATTGTAATTGTTTCGTGATATAGTGAAATATTTTTTGAAACTTGTTTTGTGCTTTTTTTTTCACCATTAAAAGATTTTTTACATTAAATGTTAATATTTTTATGTATAACATTGTTGGGCGGTAAAATCTAATTTTATTATACTAAAATTATTTTGATTTATCTTATTTAAAATTTTAATTTACACTCATACTACACTTATTGGATGTTGAATCAAACAAGTGACATCAGAGCTTTAGTTCAGGCTCAAAATTGAAAGTGTAAATTAAATGGAGAATACAAATATTATGATCAAATTCATTTTTACAAACTATTCTATTTGAAAGACAAAAATGAAGGATATACTTTTTCTATACTATGAATGACCCTGTAGAAAAAGGAAATGCAGAGTCAAATAATGTGTCAATTGAAGATTGGAAGAAGACTCATTGAAGGGCTATCGGTTTATTTTGAGAGTGGGTGGATCTTATTATTCTACCATGTAACCATAAAGACAAATGTCCAAACTCTATGGAAGAATATTAAGAAAATTTATCAAAGAAACCCCGCATAGAATAAAACTTTTTTTTTATCGAAAAGTTAGTCAATTTAAAATATAAGAGAGGAAGATCAATAGCAAAACATAAACACTTGAGTGACTTTCAAGACTTTGTAAATCAACTAGTTTCATGAAGCTAGTTCTGAAGATGAATTACAAGCATTATTGCTTTTGAGTTACTTGCCAAAAATATAGGTAACATTGGTAGTGTTATTAAGTAACTCTGTTCCTAATCTCTCAAGTTAAAGATAGTATGTTGAACAAAAAAACAAAAAAAATTATTTATAAAAAAATTATTCTTAGATTTTTGTCACAAGAAAGAGAGAGAAATATAAAAGTAAATGATAACTTAATAAATTCAAAGATAAATCGTAGTTTCAACCTCAAAGAAAGTTTAATAATTATCATTATGATAAAAAATGATGCATAAAAAATAATTGTAAAGCTTAGAAGAACATTAAAAAAAAAAGGAAAAATCAAATATTAAAAAATAATAAAATACCAAAACTCAAGTAACTAGTGAGAAAGTAATGTTGTTTACCATTAAAGAAGAAGAATGTTATATTGCAAATTCATATATTTAATAAGTAGTTAACTGAAACAATATTTTATAACTTTACTTCGAACAATAAAATTTTCACTACATACAAAGCAAGATACTTTGGTAAAGTAAAGATAATTAACAACAATGCAAAAAATGTTAGGATAAATAATAAATACTTTGATGATGAAAAATAGCTTTTAAAGAGATATTGATGATAGTTAAAGAAATAATGTATTTAACATTATAAAAAATTCAAATCAAGTTAATTAAAGATAGATTGAATATAATTAAGAATGATGCTTCACCAAATGTGTGGAACAATAGGCTAACTCATTTAAGTGAACAAAAATTATAAATTTTGATATAAAAATTCATCTTTCCATCTACCAAAGGTACAATCTTTATGATTATTATTTGTTTGAATAGCATCACAAAATATCTTTTAGTAAAACTTCAAAATTAAAAGAAAATATTTTAGATAGAATCACAAGAATGGTACATCACAAAATATCATTCTTCTTGTATAATGACAATAGTTTCAACCCTATGCACAGTTAACAATATCTCCTTTAGACAAAGGAAAAAATTTGTGAAGTCCTTATTGCTTTTTATTTGTATAAATAAAGGATTCAATGAGTGAAGCAAAGACATTAAACAAAAAGCAAAAAACAAAATTTTATGAAGTGAGAAAAAATTAAGCAAATACCTAAGTGTAAAAAATATAATGGGTTAAGTTTTATTTTGTTAAGAATCATTTGTATGACAAATTATGTAAGTAACCCGTTTCCAGCTATGTTATCAATATTATCATGCATGTCTCCAACTATAGTTATTTCAAACAATGAAATAAAATACTGAAAACCAAACGTAATATGAAGTAAAAGGTGCTGAATATACACACAAAAAAAAAAAATGTACATATACACCATCTTAGCGTATATAAAAGTGTAACTATGCGTGAACCGTTTTGAATCTAAAATATCAATGAATGATAAAAAAAAAGGAATGACAGCATGTACAGGCAATAAATCAATGCTTTGGTAATTCCATCAAAAACACTTCAAACAAAATTGAGAACGCTGGTGTGGTAAGTTAAATCAACCAGAGCAGTTCTACTGGGTAACAATATTAGTTAACGCCATCTTTCTTAGTCTTTTTCCTTATACTTTGAGGAACTTCCACCAAAATCATCATGAAGAGAAACAATGCCATCTCACATGGCTTCCAACTTCTGAGTCTCAGAAGATTCATTGAGAAAGTTGAGGCGAGCCTGTTTGGTTCGCTTGCAAGGCGCTACAGAAAATAAAAGGAAAAGTACAAAACAAATAGAGTCAACCTCTTCAGTTCAGTTGGGGAATAAGAAGAAAATGCAAGAACTGTCTCAATAGTCAATACCTTCTGTGTTGTTTTCTTTGTTGGATGCAAGCACAGAAGATTTCCACTTCTCATAATCACGTTTTTCAGTTTGCTTGCGTTTTTTATAACTTGAAAGCTGGATACAAAACAAATGTTAGTCAAATTCCATAGTCAAAATTATACAGACACTTTATAGCAAATATTCATGAAAAATATTAAACAAATATACATCAAAACACGATGATGAGAGTAAATAGAATAATAAAGTGATCAAAAGGCAGACAATGGTGATCTTTGCATTTAACCATGCTATCAATACTTTGTAAAGATTACAGGATGGAAACTAGATTTTGGTGAATTTATTTTCAAACAGAAAGAATCCAAGTGTACATTCTTGTGCATTCATTTAAATTCATAATTATGAAAAAATTATTTTTTCCAAATTGAGGTTACAACTTAGTGGGATCAGTTAAAAATGATCCTTTGCTAAATAGATAGGACAGCTACAATGAAAAAACGCAACACAAATGCTCATAAATACTGAGTAAACTGGAAGAATGTGATAGGTGAAAGTTTAAACACCTGTGGTGGCTTTTTAATACCTAAGTGAGCAATTTAGCTCTACTATCCTGATATCCACTATCCCATATCAAATGAAAGCTAGCCTCCTATATATGTTGGATTGAAATTGCAAAAGGACCTTAATTAATTAATTCAACAGAGTTATCCACAATAGGACTTTGCATCAAAATTTGGAAATTATAGTTTATCATTACACTACTGAAGCAAGAGAAACCAACAAATCAAATTAATTTTAGAAAGATTCCAACTTTTTACTGTTAAAACCCAACATTATAGTACAGAACATTTGGTTACAAAATAATCTGCAAAGAGTTATGCTGAATGTGTTGCATCAAGCTATGATAAAACCAAGATAAAGGATTCGTTTGTAAGAACATATAAACAACTGATGACTCCATGAACTATTTTCAGCTTATTTCAATAAGTTTCTTCACATAGCTTATCAAAATAAGCTATTTTAGCTTATGCCAATAAGTTTCTTCATTTAATTTGTGATATGAGCTTGAAATATGCTAGTAATATGTTAAGAGACAAGTACCTCAGCACCATCATCAGACAAATAACCACCTTCTTCAAGTTTTCTTTTACTTGGTAAAACATCAAGTAAGTCTGCACAAAGAGGGAGAGAAATAAAAGTTTAGTCTATAATTTAGAAATTAAAAATTTGAACAAAATAGACTACTTAAAGCAAAACAAGCTGTGAAGTTGATACATCATGATCAACCAAAAAGGAAAAGTAATATACCTCGATTTGATTTTACTTCCTTAGGATCTTTCTTTTCCTTGGCAACTCCAAAAACGTCATGACATAAATCCTTCATGGTAGTAAAAACCTGCAGAAACCAAACCATGCACAACTAGTTCAAAATCATTAAACACTAGTAACAAAAAAGTAAAAATAAAAATCAAGCCTTCAACATCCATTATATGTATATAAAACTTACACTAGAAAATTCAGATTCAGATGTACCACAAAGTTCAATTAGCTTAAGCTTGTCTACCTTCAACTGCATACGGAAAAAGAACAATATGTCAATTAAAACAAAGGAGTAATTCATGTCAACTCTCATTAAAGCTATCCAATCCAATCTAATAATTTACAACTCATGCAAATACTTGGCATTCCATGAACATCATATTTAACCCCTCAAATAATCATAGGTAAGGTACCTTGTGTTTTTTAGCACATAAATAAAAAGCAACTGCAGTGAACACAGGACGAGTGAAATCAGCACTAGCACGGCGAGAGGCAGGCAATGACGAAACAAATCGATCTTTATAACTGTCCACAAAGAAGATAAAATAAATTTCAACAACACATAAAATTTCTAAAAAAAGATTTATCAAACAAGTGGAGGGTAACTCACAGCTTGAGACCGTCACGAACGAGAGGAATAATGCGAACACAACCAAACTGAATAGCTAATTCCCTAACATCAAGCTTCATCCTGAAAACAGAAACACTTCAATTAAAAAGAGAACAAAAGAGAGGAAAATTTGAAGGAATTGAAATAGAAGGGAAATCACTTGACGCCAAGGCCGTTATGGAGGGAATTGTAGGATCTGATATAAGCCCTTTCGGACATTCCGCTGAGCCTCACCGCAGAAGATCGATCAAAGAGAACGTTGAGCCTAGTTGCGGCAATTTCCAAGCAGATGAGAGATTTAGCAACCTCGCCCTAGCGAAACAAAGAATAAAGGCAGTGAATGGAGTGAAATAAAATAGAGGGAAGTGAAAAGAGGGAAAAATAGGGCTTACGACTCCGATAACCGAAGAATCGAATTGGACGTCACAGAGGCGACGGAGTTCAGCGGCTTTACGAATGAGGAGTTTGGAATCGGAGAGTTGGAGCTTCTTGGCTAACTCGGAAATGTCCATTGTTATGATTTTTGAGGGAAAAGTGATTTCACGTTTGCATTTTGAATGAATGGAGAAATAGAAAGAAATAGATTGATTCTGGTTGCCAATGCGCCGTTTTGTGGTTCATTTTTTGAACGTTAAGGCGCGCACTGTTTCCAGCGAAAGGTTTTGTTTGGCGCCCTCTGCTGCTAAAATTTTGTTTTCCAGCTTTTACCGCCTTGTGCTATGCGCTTTTAAAGCTCCACTTTTTCCTTTTTTTCTCTTGATGATTACCACTCAACTTTGATAATTTTACATTGTTTTTATATAATTTTTAAGCTAAATTAGAACATCACTATTTTTATTTTTTGTTTTATTTTTATTTTTGTGTTTAAAAAAAATAAAAGAAAGTTAACTCAATTATTTTTCTTAATTAAGTACTTTTCACTTATTGTTATCGTCTTCTTATACCTTATTCTTCACTTTTCCTCTTTTCATATCCTCTTGATCTTCTTACTCTCACCATCACTATATCAGTATCTGAAGTTATTTTCATCTCAAGAAACCATCTTTCATCTGTCACATAAACACTATCAACAAATCACTGCACTATATTGTAAATTTTCGCAACCAATGTCTTAAGTTACTACTACCACTACTGTGTGGTGTAGTGATACTTGCTGTAAACTACTCATCATTCTAAAAAAATTATACTCACATCAATAGACCCTACTAAAACTAAGTATCTCAGTGTCATTATAATATCTATTTATGCCACCGTTATTCACCAAAATTAACTTTTGTGAATTTTATTACACAAGTCTATCAGTATACCACGTGCAAGTTGTTAGTAGGAGTGTTTGTTGGTAGATTTCAACAAATACAAACCATTGTTGAAAGTGGTTTATGGTAAATGTGATAATAGTAATTATTATAGATAATTGATGCGCAGAGTGATAATGACAAATTGGGTAAACTTTGAAGTGCGGTAAATGGTTTATAAAGTGTTAGCTCATGGTCGAAGAGGTGTCTTGATTTGTTTATAAGAAATGTTAGATAATATATTTTTTATATATTTAAAAAATGTTATGAGAGTTCATTTTTCTGTAATTAATTTTTTATTTTATAAATTATTTTACTAAAAGTTTGCTTAGATAATATTTTGGAAATTTTTTTAATCAATAAGTGTTTATTTACTATAACAATCCACTATTTCTTCTTAATAAATATTTATAACAAGTGAAATCCTATTACTACCTTCTTTTTTTCGCTCCATCTTTTTTTCTCTTATGCTCTTTCTTATTTTTTAAAGTTTATATTATTATTTTTATTATGACTGGGTTACTAATAATTTCAATTATGAGTTTACGAACTTAAGTTTATATTAAAAATTTGTTACCCATTACAAATGTATTTTTAAAAATAATGTTTAACACGATTGAGGCCAATTATTTCTAATATAACTTTCTTATGATTGGAAGTTAATTTTTACCACAATCTTAAGAAAATATATGTTATTTGATGGTAAAGTGTTGTAAGTATGTAGCCAAGCTTTTGGAGTAGAACAGAGAAAATGGAATGAGGTGGTGACAAAGAGTTAAAGTTATTTTGTGAGTGCAAATTATTTAAAAAGTCAATAATAAAAAATCTACAATATATTTGTGTTGAATTTTACCCAATTAAATGTTATTTAAAATAGCTTTTTATTAGCTAATTTTCAAAAATCATTATATATATTTTTTAATTTTTGGTTCATAAATAAATATTTTTATAACAAAATATCATAAAAAAAATATTCTTATAATATTGAGAATTACCTGTGATGTGAGTCGAAGCTTTAACTTAAATAATCATTTAAAAAATGTATACACGGATGAAATTACAATAATTGCCCATTTCATACCACATTCATGTATTTGTCATAGTTTATAATATAATTTTGAAACATCTTTCTGAACGTTTTTAAAATTGAGTTAGATTTTAAACTTCTAATTAACGTTTTAATTTCTCATTATTAATTTTAACATTATTATTCTTTTGTTTACGAAGAAAAAGAAAAAGACACCGTGTAGGACAAATATGGGTGGTATGGTGGTGAACGAGGCAAGGAGACGATGAGATGCTCTCACGCCAACAACGCTCTCTTCAACGCTTTGAAACCCAAACCCCACAATTCAAAGAACCTTCTCATTCCCACTTCATTTGGACTCTCTTCAACGCTCATCAACGAAGGTTTCAAATTTAGCGATTCCCTTTTCGATCCTAATTTATCTCGAATTTGATCCAAATGAATAATGATATTGCTCCTTCACTCTCACAACAGCTGGTAAGAAGAAGAACGCATACGATGCATTGCTATTGGATGCTGGAGGCACTCTTTTGCAATTGGCCAAGCCAGTTGAGCACACTTACGCCGATATTGCAACCAAATACGGTTATTTCTTCGTCTTTTCGCTATCGGGCCAAAGCCCAAATTATAAATATATAAACATTTCATTTCATGCCTCTCTTCAGGTTTGAATTTGAATCCAGTTGAGATAAAGCAAGGATTTAAGAGAGCATTTGCTGCACCCTGGCCCCATAACTTACGTTACAAGGTCTGTGCAATGCTCTCTACCTTTCATTATTTATCCCTTTTATTCTGCATATCATTGTCTTGTCATTGTGCATCTGCATTTGTGCTATGGTATTATAACTCCGCAAATATAGTGTTTAGCAAAAATGTATTTAATAATATGAAGTATGAGCTGTACTTATAATCTTCCTTTTGTCTCTGGATTTGTCTTGCGCGGGTACGAATATTGGATTCAACGATACGTAAATATCATAATCTTTTAAAAAATTAGGATATAGGTTAGACTCTGTATGTTAAGTAAAATATAATTATATTTATAAATTGATTATATTGTATTAATATATTTAACTTGATTTGTTTGTTTTTCTTAATATAGTTGATATTCTTATTATATCGGTTTGCCCTTGGCATTGTGTAATTACTGCTCTTCAATCTCTTGAAAATCTTATTAAAAATATATTCATAATTAAATTTAAATAAAAGCTTTTTATTCAAATTTTCATAATCACTTCATTGTCTGTAGAAAAAATGTATATTAAAGAGGTATGTAGATGAGGCAGTCAAGGTTGGATACAAATGCAATTGTATAATATGTGTATTGATATTCAGAATGGCTATGATACATTTACATTGCCAATTTTGAAGTATTTGTGCATCATAGCTTTAAAGGAAATAGAGGAAAAAGAAACAGGAAGACGTTGTATGAGTAAAGTTTACAGGAATGATATAATGGATCAACTTTCTGTGTCATTTTAGCCATCTCAGGATATTGATGTCCCAATGGTTGTTCATCTAATACATAATTTTTAACATAAAACATAGCACATATTTAATATCTTTCAACATGATATGTAAATTGTATACAGAAAGACATTTAAAGAGCAAATGGTGTTTATTATGGCAGTGATATAAACTTTTTAAGTTGTATTCACTACAGGGAGATGGGAGGCCATTTTGGAGACTTGTAGTTTCTGAAGCCACTGGTTGTAGAGATGAAGATTATTTTGAGGAAGTTTATGAGGTAACATTTCTTGGAAGCTGACTGTCCTAGTTGTCATTCCCTCATTTTCACTTTTTAAAACTATTCTATAAACCAAAGCAAATTTGCCTTTAGAATGCTTTGATCCTTTTGAAAACTAAACACCCGTTAAAATGATTTAACAAAAATTGCAAGTTCTCTTTGCTTTTCATCAGTTCCTTTGGAACACGACCAGAATATATGATCTATGGTTTTAACATTGTAGTTTCTGGTCTTTCTCTTGTTGGTTCCAGAATTTTAATCTTGTTTTTCTAGATATTATTACACTTACCGAGGAAAAATTAATTGCCTGGAGACTGCTTTAAAAGTTGAGATTTTGTATTCTAATTAATGATGTGAGGCGCCCTTACTGCATCTGAACTTTAGGTGTTGTTTGTGTCAGTACTATGCAAAAGGTGATGCATGGCATCTTCCAGACGGAGCTTATGAAACAATAACTCTTCTCAAAGACGCAGGAGGTCACATAAATTAATTATTTCTTTTATCCTAAACTGCTAAAATTTTTAGCCCTGTAAGTTATCTACATTCTTTGAAGTGTCCTTACTAACGACAAGCAGTGACAGTTAAAATGGCTGTTGTATCCAATTTTGACTCCCGCTTAAGGAAGCTATTGAAGGATCTCAATGTTTTAAATCTGTGAGTGTCATTCATTCCTTCAACATGCTCAATTGTATTGCATTTTAAAAACATTTTATTGGCATCTTTGAGGTGTATAATATGAAAAATCTCACAAAATCTGATGTATACATAATACATCTCATAACTAATTTTTAACACATTTTTTCTGGTTTGCACCTCAGGTTTGATGCTGTCATTGTATCATCAGAGGTTGGATATGAAAAACCAGACCCAAGAATATTTCAAGCTGCTCTAGGTATATATGGTTATTAATTACTCTCCTGCAAATGTAATTTACAAAAATGTTATGTAGTCTATTTTCTGCTTAACATAAATTGATTCTTGCATTACCACCACCTATTTCTTGTTATAAATTAAAGAACAATTGCAATGCGTTTTATCTTTCATCTTTGTAATCAGCCCTTGGCTTTCTTGTGGAACAATGAGAAATGGTGGAAGTTTTTTCATATTTTTCTTGAGTTGTTAATTGGAACACCACTTTTAAAATAGTATATGGCAAAACCAACTTCATCTTTTGATTCTTTTCTGGAAGAAAAATGTACTGTATCCCACTTCTAGAGTAACAAACAACAAACACCATGCTTTTCCCATTAGGTGGATCTTGTAAGAAACAGTAGTACAATAAATGGACAGACATAAATTAACTAACTGTCTTTGGATATGACTAATAATTTTTCATCTCATTTAGTTGTAAACAAATTGTTAGACAATATCATTTCCATAAGAATGTAGCATACTACATTTTTCAAATGGAATGAGGGAAAAAAATATGGCATCATTTACTGTCGTGTTAACCATATTGCTTATGTTGATTGAGTTTCATGTCCAATGTTTTCCGTTTCCTAGATCAGGTAAATGTAGAGGCTTGCAAAGCCTTACACATTGGAGACGATCAAAAGGCAGATAAACTGGGGGCCAATGCTGTGGGTATAGATTGCTGGTAAGAGCTTTCTTTTCTGAAATAATCATTGCTCGTTAATGTTTATAATTATTCTGTCAGAAATGTCTCTGGCTAATCATTCATGTTAATTTTATTTTTGTTGGATTTTAAATTGATTTTTTTATATCTTAATAAATATTTTAAATTGATCTGTCAAAGCAGGTTGTGGGGGATTGATGTGAAGACATTTTATGATATACAAATCCGCTTCCTCAATTAAGAGGCATAATTCACTTGTGAGCTTCGATCAATAGGTCAATCCTTGATATGTATACTTTTTTCTCATTTGAGCGATTCCTCTAAAATGTTGTTTGTTGCTCCGATTTGTCATGCTGAAATCAAGCATTTAATTAGGTAGATAAATACATTGGGACATTGTAAAGCAAACTCCAACGTAACCCGTTCTGATAGCTTATGACTAGAAATCGTGTTTTTAAAGCTTCTAAAAAGCCATTGAAGTAGTTGAACATTAAGGAGAGAACTATCCATCACTTTTTCACATTGCCCCTCAAAGTGTATTTTATTTCGAAAATGGATTCTTCTGTTCCCTTCCACCCATCTCTTTCTTTTAACCCTTTTCTTCTTTTTCTTTCGTTAAAGCAAAATTTTATATTTTTACTAGAGTGAATTCTACTGACTTAAGTAAAAATTACTTTTTGTATATTTCAGTTTTTACCAAAATTATAAAAGATCTGGATTTAGGAAAATACTTTCTCTTCCCTACAAAATGTAAGTATTTGACAATGTGTCCAAGAATAAACAATAAAAAATTAATAAATAGTAATTTTTATTGATAATTATGATATTTATATGATCAATGTATTATAAAATTACTATATATATATATATATATATATATATATATATAAATATATATTTATTATGTGTCTTTGGATCCAATAAAAAATGATTGTGATATACATTTTCCTTTCTTGACTAATAAAAATGCACTAAACCATTTTCAGATTTTTTTGCTAAAGTTCCTTTAACTTTTGTTATCCCATAATCTTTTTTCCTAATAAACAACTATTTTTTCAGAAATATTTTTTTAAAATTATCTTAGAGGACTGGTAAATAATGTGATTATTCTTTTAGAATAAATTAAACCAAATGTATAATAAATGTTAAGATTTTATATCACATATTATAGTCAAGTATACTAAAGTGTGCATCTCTCGAACGAGTGTATTATTTTATCAAATTCCATGCTGCTGACTTGATTTGTCACAATTGTTTCCTTCCCGTGTTTTGATAATTCATACCTATTTGTAGGCCAAATTTGTTATTTACACTAAAACTCTCATCATCATCGTCTATTTTTCTTGCTCTCTCATTTTAAGCATACCAAGAATCCCTTTATTTTTGCGTAGTTTGGAACCTGAAATGTGCATAGACCTTTTCCATTTCATCAACTTAACGAATTGAAAGGATGTATATGTTGACTATTTTTTACGAAAATGACACCTTATTTTTATTTTATTCCTTTTATCACCCTTTTTATTCAAATATTTAAAAACAAGAAAAAAAAAGACATAATTATTAATGGAAACAAACAATAGAATCTGAAATAGTTCCTTGAATCAAATATGCTTTTTATACCGTACATTATTAGTTACATAGTGCTAAACAATGAAAGTGATACATGTCTCTAACATGGCATTCATTCAACTTTCTTCTTTTTATCCTGTCATAAGTTATGACTTTAATGTGATTTTTGTTTTGTAGTAAAGTTAAGAAATAAATCTATAACTCTAATAGAGACATAAGAGACTAAATTTTAACGTCAAGAGTTACAATTGGACTAAAATTAAAAGAGAAATGAGGTAAATATAAATTATGATAAGTGTGCAATGTTTGAGTCATATTTTAGTTCACAAATATTTAATTAGATTCATTCCAATAGAATTTAAAAGCTAATATTCAAGCTTTTAATTAACTAATCTTCATATCACGAATCTAAATAGATACAAATTTTGACTAAAATAAATAAGCAAGTTACAAATTTATTTTAAAATATTGGATGATTATCATTTAAGATATCTCTTTTCTTTTCTTAAGATATGGTATCTTTTCAAATTCTAAATTTGGTACAATTTAATTACTTATTATTAGGAGTAGAATTAAAATTATCTTTTATTCTTGTTTCTTTTTTTTTTTTTTGTCTTCTTTCCTATTCTTTAAACTTTGAGTTTTCATTCTCTTCCACCTATAGAAAATAATTTTTCATTATCTAATTCAAAAATAAAAGAAGCACAATACTTTTTTTTTAGAATCAGTTTATAATGTTTTTTCTTAATTTAAATTTTTTTTTAATCTATTTAATTTCATGAATTAAAGATATTTATTCTAATTTTAATTGAGAATTAATTAATTCATCATTATTCGTTAAAAATGTGCAAATCAATTTTAGAAAATTAAGATTAATTAAGTGTTGCAAAAAATTAATACATTTTGATTAAATTCTAAATATTTTTAAATTTTAATTGACTTTGTGTTAATAAAATATGAGAGCTTTAGTGTGATCACTTTGTTTAGATTGAAGTTTCATTCAAATTCAAATTTTAATCTCAAATTAAAATATCAATTTTTTTATTCAATGATGGGTGTTGTTATTTTCCTATTAATTTTTAAACTAGGCACGACCAATAGGAAGAACAAATTGATGTACATTAATAATCAATGGATCTGTTAAAAGGTTATTTTTCACTTAGTTCACTACACTAGATGCAACATTTGTATCACTGTAATTTTACTGAAACAAACAAGCTTACCATTTCTAGGCAAGATATCGATACAATTTTCTGTCACTATCATCTCTCTCCAAAAAGTCCCGCTCAATGAGGGACTCAATCCGTTTCTTTACCTCCGTTGGATTTGCAAGGAATCGTGACTGCAACTGCTTTGTGACCTCAGCAATAAGATTGTTATGATCAAGTTGCTTCCTTGATTTCATGATCCGAACTATCGCTGCCTCAATCTGGGGCTTCCTATCCTCCTCCACTCTTTGTCGAGTTTCCAGTTTCTCAGGTTCTGATTCCTTTTGTGCAACTACAGTCCCTATTTTTACCTTGTATAGTTTGCTACTGAACTTGTCATTAACGAAGAATGCATCATCCTCACCAACATCTTTACTCATGGGCTCCTTCTTAAGGACATTTCTTCCCTTAACCAAAGCCAATGATTGTAGGCACCTCTTCAGATCTGAAGCTGGAATCTCAGTTGCTTGCTCAATTTCCTTGTAGCTTAGTCTATCAGCATTGTTAAACAGCATGAGGACACACATTTGGAAAGTGGAGACATTTAACTCATGTTTCTGACCTTTCCCAAAGGTAGCTTTTAAGTCTGCGGTGCCCATATTACTTTGCCAGGACAATCTCCTACCAGTATGGGTGCCAAGGTAATACGATCGAAATTTCTCACAAAGTGCAGACATTTCGGCTGGCAGGTTACATGTAACACTAGATTGAGTAGGCCAAGAACCTGTTGTCAAAACCTGCACGGTAAGTGTAGGACCGTCACTTAACTCAGGGTGGCTGGCATAAAAGCCCTGCATTGTGTCTAGAGAGGTTTTCATGTCAGTAAACATGCCCTCTAATTTAGAGGTGAATTGATAACCGCATTCTGTCTTGAGCTTGACTATGAGACTTCTTTCTGCATCATCAGAAACTGTTTTTCCAGACAAAAGCCGCTTTGCCAGATGCTGTTTGTAATACTTCTCAAACACATCTTTTTCTTGCAAGTATCGGAATAGCATCATCACTTTGTCAAGAGTAATCTCTACATCATCCTCACTAACTCCCTTGAGACCTTTCCGAAGCTTATCATCTACAAATAGTGAAATGAACTCTGGAGAACGAGGATTCAAGTTAATGAAGTATTCAAATGAGGAATTCAAGGCATTCTGGAACAACTTGTCATTATTAAATGCCAAATTTATAATCTTGTCATACTTATCTTTCTCATCTAAGAGCCTCTGCACAAATTCAACAGGATCTTTCAACCTTTCAGGATCAGTGACAAGCTGCTTACCAGACTCTCTAATGTGTGAAGTCATCACTTCTCGTATTTTTGACAGACCATCATTAACACGACGGAACAAGTTATACATTCTACCCAAATCTTCATATTTATCATCACAAAGCATGCTTACTAACCCAGAATTCTCCATATGTATTAATCTAAGCATGTGATTTTCAATCATCTCCTTCTCCACCACATTAGTAATCTTCTTTTCAGTCCTGGGATCCAAGTAATGGCTCACTCTATCCATTTCCTCATTCAGACGCCTCTCAGCTTTCTTCAGATAATCCCCACAATCACAACACTCAATAAATTTCTGGGATTCTACCCTGTAAAATTCAGCTGAAACTTGAAGAAAAGGAGTCTCAAATTCTTGCCCATAAACAGAAGGACCCAAATCCATTAGCATCTTTGTTATATTTCTAAACAGTCCTCTATTAATAACATCACCAGCACGCTCATTGCACACCAATTCCAAAAGTGTATTCAAGAGCCGAGTTCTTATCTGGTTTGAATATATAACATTTTCTCTCCACAGGTTCAGGCCAAGTTCATGAACAGGGGTCTTCTGGGCACTTGGGATGTAAGTCCTATCCATGTACATCAGAATGTCTCTAATCATTTGTAATGCCTTATTATGATCATTCCATTTCCTGTTCATTTCTTCCAGAAAGGAACCTCCTTGAGTAGCTTCAATGGATCTAGCTATCTCTTTGAGATGAGCAGTCATGGTAGCAACCAGTCCTGTGTATAGCTTCTCACCAAATTTGTGAAGAACCATGTTGTATGCATTTCTAAATAAACACAATAATAAAGGAAAAAAAATATTAGAAACAAGAAATTCATTGTCCTCATGGAAAGAAAAAAATAAATACTACATACTTTTAACATGCACACATCCAAAGGAAAACCTGCAAAACAATTCAGCTTATATACCAATATACTCCCTTTGGTTCTAATTATAAGAAATGTAGGAGTATTTTCTTTGCCCTAATTATGAGAAGTATAGATTCATTTTTAGATGTATTAATTGTTAAGTTCCTTTCATACCTTTATTTTATTGTGGTATTTGTTTTAACGAGACACTCATAGACTCACGTATTTTTCATGTAAATGGATATATTCAGCCATTTAATAGTGCGGGAATTTGTAGAATAAAATATAAATCTATGACATATAATTGTTTTTCATTAATCTTGATAAAATTAGTGATTAGTTTCCTGTAGAGAGGACTGGAGAGAGTTATAAATTAGTTCAGATGGTATAAACCATTGAAAGAGAGAGAAAAGAGAGGCACATGGTTCATCTGTGTTCAGCCACACAACGATGGAAAAAAATATTGATGAAAAATACTAAAAACAAAGATCATGAGTACCCTAGTTACATTATTATGGTTACTCTAATGAACCAAGACATGATTTACATAGTTCCAACCTAAACTAACAAATCAAGGAGGAGAGAATAACAAAGAAAGTTGGCCATAAACT